AGTAATTTTCACGTTATCTATCCCATTTGCGCAACTGCATGTAAAAGTTATTGGTGATTGTAGGTTCATAAGTGAACAGTTTGATTTCACAGAAGTTTGATTCAATTTAAATTGTATTATGCTGTTTAAGTGTTCCCTTTATTTCTTGAGCAGTGTAATTTGCTATTTTTATTAAAATATTGTATTAATAGTGTATTGTAGAGAAAGTAAAAATTAAAGAAAAAATTGGTTTTGAAATTCAATCAAATAAAATAATTTAAGACTTTTGGCCTCAAGTATTTAAAACACATTTGGACACAAGAGCTGTAGGCAAAGTGAATACAGCACTGCAACTTTTAGAATTCATGGAACTGTTCTTTGGTGGTTAGCCTACTTTAATCAGTGTAATATCAGCATAGAGATGACAATCCCATTTCAATCAAGATCTGAAACTAGAAATTTATTAAAATAGAATCAAATATTTTAAAATGTGACATTTGTTTAACTTTAGCTATTCTATTCTAAGAAGAGAGTAACGATAAACTATTGAACTTGTCTAAACTTTATGAAGGTCTATCGTTATTTTATTATTACTTGCCAACCCTTCTCATTAATACAACCCTTCAAACAGCAGTTAATTAATTATTATCTACTTGTCTTCCTCTATAATTATAAACATAAGGGAAACTGTTGGGTTCAATAGCCTACCCACTGTACTTCTAAATCTTGAAGTGACTTATAAAGTGGACGTCATCTCCTTTAAACCACTGAGAAAGAACCCCCCCACCCAGATTTTTAAAAACAGACCATATATTGTAAGCTGAGGACCCCCTCACAAAAAAACAACATAAACGTCTACATGCTCCAATGTAAACAATGTTATTAGATATAATAAATCTCTCTCAAGGTTCGATGGACCATTTAGGTGAAGGCTGTAAATAAAACTCATGGGCCTAATTAGAAACAGATAAATAAGAAACGTTTTAGACCTAAAGGGTAATATTATGTCTTGTGTTAATTTGCATGCCTTTTAAAACTTTAGGACTGTAGTATATGAAACACTGTATCTGCTATGAGCTTTTAAAAGATAATCATTTTTATAACTACATAACTGCTACTAGGTAGCTCCAATGCATCATTTTTGATTGAGTTAACTTTATTGCAATGATCATTGATGTTGTAAATTAAAGATAATATAGTAAAAACATTTCATTTCAGTCATTTATACTTTAAACTGCAATCCCCCACCCTTTAATGTTTCTGTTATGAATGCTTTATTTACTGTTGCTTTAATAATGAAGTCAAACTCTACAGGTTCCCAGTAAATGATACCTTCATGCATGTGGTTTAAATCTTAGTTTATGGTTATTTCCAGCATTTATGGGTAAAACTTCATTAAAAAGCGGTCGGTTTTCTTGTGCTATACTTTTAAACAGCAAAGAAAAAAAATCTAAGAAAAAATATGTTTTAATGAAATAGTCTTTGAGGGGCAAGATTTATATCCATACCTTAAAGGACATGGCCGTTTGCTTCCCAGATCCCCTGCTAAGGTGGAACGACTGATCGGGTTTCAGTTTGCCTTTATTGTAGCCAGTATGCATGATGATATCATTTTCAACAAGACCAAAGACAATCTGTCAGCAGATGCCCAATCAAACAGGGGTGATAACCAAAGCTTTAAATTTGGTGAATAAAATCAGATGAGCTGAGACACTTGGTGCTGATGTTAAAGTGAATCAGTACATGTAGAAAAACATCCACCAAGAAAGAAGTGATTGCCGTGAGCATTGCCCATGACACTAAGCTAAAACAGATGAAGGTAATGCATGCAAAGTATGAAAACACATGAATATATGGGAGCAGTTTAAAGGGAGCATGGAGACTCTTGAGCCAAAACTGCTCACAGAACAGAAATACAGAGTTCAAGAGGTTCAAATGAATAAAGCAATGAAATGAGAAACGATTTTGCTTCCAAAAAATCTAAACCGTTCTCACATATTGTCACTCATCTTTCGGATATTTAGGGATCAGATATTCTGTTGTTATTCATGTCTGATTACCTCTGTTTAAATTTTTCCAATTCATTTGATTCACTGATATTAAACTTTGGTTGTCATGTTTAAAATACGCAAGTTTGTCAACCTTCTTTTTAAGTAATTTTTGGTGTGGGGGTTTCCCCTCAGCCTTTCAAAGTATAATTTTTATGAAAAGTCACATGCAGATAAAGAGTCCCAAACCTCATGTGAAATCATTCAAACATTCATACTTTAAGGAACACCATGTGTTTGTCGTTCAGGTTTTTCGGATTTTTAAAAACACTAAATTTGAATTTGTAGACTATTTGGGAAAACCCTGATGATACGACGAGTGTGATACGACAGAGTATTAGGACCAAGCTAGAGATTTTTTGTCGTAAAATTACGAGAATAAAGTCGTAACGAGAATAGTCATAAAATTAAGACAATAAAGTCGTAACACAAAAATAAATTCGTAAAATTACGAAATGAAAAATATTTTTGTTTCTTGAACCTGAAATTATTAATTACTGGAAGTTATTTTTTTTTTGTATCTCATTTTCAAAATTTTAACATTTTTAGATTTTAGTTACATCTTCTTCGGATGCCCCCTGGACGCCTCCCTCGGGAGGTGTTCCAGGCACGTCCCACTGGGAGGAGGCCCAGGGGACGGCCCAGGACACGCTGGAGAGACTACGTCTCTCGGCTGGCCTGGGAGCGCCTAGGGCTTCCCCCAGCAGAGCTGGAGGAGGTGTCTGCGGAGAGGGAAGTCTGGGAGTCTCTGCTCAGTCTGCTGCCCCCGCGACCCGGTTCCGGATAAAGCGGGAGACGACGAGTACGAGATTTTAGTTACTCAGTATTTGAATAGCCTTTCCCCGAATCCCTCTTTGCTCTGACTTTAGTAATTTAATAGATCAATATTATTTCTTATACTTGAGTTAAACTATAATGAATTGTACTACTCTTTCTTGAGAACACTTTTTTGTGTACTCTATCCATCTCTTTTTTTTGTTTATTTTTTTTACCTTTATTTAACCAGGAAAAAATCCCATTGAGATTCAAGGGAGTTCTGGCCAAAAGGCAGCAAAAAAGTTACACAATAAACAGAGATACATTCAATTAAATGACAGGTACTTAAAAAAAAAACATATCAACAGTAAAAGAATTACAGATAATTGAGGCTGCTTCAAATTCTTTCACCTTCAACTTAAAAGCATTTAAAGCTACAGTGTGTAATAATTACAGGGATATACAGTCAGAAATTTAATATATTATACATAACTATGTTATTTATCATCATCTACGAGCTCAGCCTCTTAACCTTAATATTTGCGTTGCCTTAGAATTCGTTATTTATAATTACATAGGAGCGGGTCTCGCAGCCATGGAGGCAGACATCTTTGCACTACGGCATCGCAGAGCCAACAAACTAGCGATTGCGAGATCGCCCATTACGCTCGAAAGTAACTACGGCAAGTTGAGAGAGATGAACTGAGACGGTACTGAACAATAGATGGCAGTATATACTATCTGTAAAATTATCCATGTAAACAAACCTCATCACTTAAGAAGGTAGGTGATGCGGACGTCGTGGAAGACATTTTGTCCCGTAACGCTCGCCGTACTGTTGGGGGGGAGAAGCGGTGGGGGGAGATGTTCACGTTGCTGCGGTCTGCAGTCTGGACGTTAGATGTCGCTGAAAATTACACACTGTAGCTTTAAAGATAAAAACTCAATCAACTTCCAGTTTCTTTGTAAAAAAAAAAATAAAAATCCACGCACAAGGAGCTGCGTAGCTAAAAGCTTTCTTCCCTAGTTCTGTGTGGGCAAAAGGAACAGAGAGCAACAGCTGACCGTTGGATCTCAGGGCATAAGAAGCCATGTTTTTCTGTGTAAGTAAGGTACAAATGTAAGAGGGCAGTAATCCAAGCAGGGCCTTGTAAATAAAAGTATACCAATGAGACTGCCTTCTCATAGAGAGGGAAGGCCATCCCACCTGAGAATACAGGTCACAGTGATGTGTCATGGCTCTACATGACACATCACTGTTAATGGTCTGTTAATTGGTTACATCTGTAAATATGTATATAAACAAACACTTTGAACACATTATCTACTCTCCTAGCTGTGGATGCATTTGTAGTATCAAAGCTCTTCATAAAAATCAACCCAGCACATCTCTCAATGGTCACAACTAAAAGAAGACGTCAGACTGTTGGCTGACCTTTTTTCCGAGCTGCTGACCACACTCTTATATCACATATTGAATGTAAACAAGGAAAGGGAGGAGACCTAGAACCTACAGCGAGCGCACGTGCTTTACAGTGATGTTACAGCTAAAGACTGCTTCGTGTTGACCTGCTTGTTGGGTGGAACGCTGTTGTTTTATGTCCACCTCCGGTTTTTTCTCTGCAGTGGCTTTTCATAATTAGGTTACAATGGTGTAATGCTAGGATTTGTAGACAAACCACTCTAGAGCAGAGTGCTAGGGAGCAATTTTGTTGTCTTTGTGTTTTGGTTCAATGGATAAAAGGTGAAAACGATTGGATAAAATTCACTGCAAGTGCTGACAGCCTGTTTTCTATGTCACCATAACAAGGTTAGTTTGACATCTTTCAATAGCATTAATAGAAGGAAATGAGATCAGCTGTTTACCTAAAATGAACTTTTAGAAGGTTTTTACTAACTGAGAATCCATTTATTTTTCTTTGTTGTTTTCTACACACATGATGAGTACACATGATTTCACTGCAATGAAAAAATATTTGCTTTTTGCATGAATGTTTAAGGAAGCAATGGCTAAAAAAATGCCTTTTATGATGATTGAGTTGCAAAGTAGCTGTAGGGTATAATTTCCGTTTTAGCTTATGTTCAAATGTCAAAGAGGTGAAAAAAGACAAAGGTGTTTAAATAAAAAGAGAATAAACATGTTTTAGGCCAAACTAGAGATGAATATGCTGTGTTTGTATTATGTTATTGTTGACAGTCTGTGTCTTTCTGTAACAGATTCAAAACTAGGTTGTGTGGCCAAACTGTCCTTCTCCTGCCCCCTGAAGGGCTATTACTGCCTGTATGCCAAATCCAGTTTCCACCTGACGAGCCAGCAGCCTCACCTTTGGATTCACATCATGCTGCTCCATCTACAGGTGCTCCAAAGACACAAACATACATTTATTCATTTCATTTTGTCCTTTATTAAAGCAGAAAATGTAGCTTTTATGATAAAGATTAATTGAACCAGCATGACCTTTAAAAGACAGACTATGGAAATGTGTTAATGTAAAGTAAATGGGCTTCCACCACATACTTTAGAAACAACAAGCTCAAGGAGGATCAAACTTAATAATCATTAAAGTCACCACTAGAAGAGTCATTTAAATGAATACTCACTTTCAGGAACTTTAATGTCTGCACTCCTGATTAGAATATGAGTGCAAACTATAGAATATCTAATTCTAATTTGGTTAAATATCTATGTATTAAAGATATAGCGGATGATTTTTGCGGATTTTTGCAAAGACCTGCCCCCTCCACCTAAAAAAAAAAAAATACACATGCACAACCCTGTACCTGCTCCAGAGAGATAAAGACTATTAAACTATTTGAGCAAACGTTATTCACTCTTGAGGGGAAGAAAAGGGTAGTTGTTGTTTTGTTTTTTTTTAACAGACACTTTTGCCACAACTATTAGCATCCCTAACTCCCCCTTTAAAATAGAGGTAACTTAATATAGAAATGTTGGAGATGTTATTTTGCCTAATTAATTCAGAAATCTTTATCTCATGATGACTAAACTCATTTAATAAATATGTCGATGACATTTCCATTCATTAATATGACCTATACTTTATATATAAAATCAATAATAAGAAAATTGCATTATAGAATAATACTGTGGATAAAAATGCTGCAACTCTCTGTTGGAGAAGTCTTCTCACCCTTTAAACTACATTTTAGAATCACACTTTGCTTCTTCAGATCAACTGCATTATCTATTATTCACGATGAATGTACAGATAGTTTTTATTAAATTAGAAAAAGTTTTTATATTTCAGCGACTATTAAACATTTATTTTAAAGTAGCACAACTGACCAATAAACATCTTACTGATAGAGAATTGTAGTATTAATTAAAAGGCTGTTTATTAAAAGCTTAAAGATTATTTTCAAAAGGTACTTTTAATTTGAAAGATGAGCCTCAACAGAAGTCATAATGCTTAGTTGAAGGTTCTTCAACAAAAGTGTGCAGCTGGGTTATTGCAACTTGTTTTATTTACTAGCTCTATGTTTATACTTGATTCATGCAACATTAAAAGTGCGGAAATTATTCATTTTGGGCCCTTTTTTTCCATTACAGAAACTTGTCATTATAACATGGAAGCGATTAATTTTTATATCCACTGTAGGTTTTTCTTCATGTTTTTATTTTGTGTCCCATTTTACCAGAGTAAGTCCAGTGTCCCTCTGTCCACCAGAGACAAAAGTGTCCAAAGATTATCCTCTCTTTGGGAGAAGACGCAGCTTAAAGGATCCCACAGCTTTTCCATGGCAATGAGGCAGCAAACCACCCCCCAAAGAAAGGTAAAACTAAACAGTTGAATTGAGTTTAGGGTAGGTATGTATTGGTTAAATGATGGTTAGGCTAAGGTTCTGTTTGAAATGAATGGCTTAACGTTTGTGTGAGCTCTTTCCCCAGCAGTAACAATGAAGTCATCATCAGGTAGTGTCAGTGTCCACCGTGTTTAGATATGGACTCCACTAAATGGATATTTCTTTATACAAGTCCTCTCCTCACTCTGAGTCATCTTTGTCACATCTGTTTATGTTTGTGCAAGCTCAACGTTGAGCTGCAGAGAGAAAACGGTTATGTCAGTTTTAGCATGCCTTTATTATCTAGTTAAATTGGGTGGTACTTTTTCAGACTTTTTAATATTGCAACCTTGGAAATCATTAGAAACTGATTAGGCCCACAAAGAAACAACAGCTAACCTTTGCCCCTCTGACTATGGGTGACAGACGGGGCTTAAACGTACCCACACATGTGCAGAGCTTTCCCTAGTTCAAACATTATTGCTCAATAAGGCTAATCATTAGCATTGTCAATTTATTCCAAAAAAAGTTAAAAAACAATCCACTGGACTGTGTTTTCAAGTTTGAAGATATTTATTACGTGACACCATTGAACGCAACTCAGGCACGTCAACACACCGCGTCAGTCACATCTGATCTAACAAGGAGAAACAACTCTGCTTACATTCGATAAACATGGCACAGCCTTGGTGAGAGAGATTGGGACAGATAAGTAATAAAAAATACTGACTACACCCTGGCTCTCGTCCATGTTGCTCTCCATTATTTACTTCCCTGATTACTGTCACAGTTTCAACATCTTTAACGCTTACCCAGCTTCATCAGACACACAGTGGTAGGGGAAAGTGGCCACAGAGCTTTCCAGCAGGGGGTCAAATGGGAAAAGAGCCAAAAGGCAATTGTTAGCGGTTCAACCCGGTTTTCAGTGGGAAAGCAGCTTTGATGGCCCACTTTTTATTCCTTTTTCTGTTCAAATTGTGTCCTTTTTTATATTAAAGCAAAAAATATATACAAAAAAACTGCACAAAAATGGTTAGATAAAGACTTTATTTCCGATACAAGCTTTGATGTGTGTGTCTAAGATCACTGGCCTTTTAGAACACCAAACTGTGGGACCTAAATCATCCACTGCACTGAAACGAGGATGTTTTAGAAAAAAAAATCTGTCTTAGCAATGACCACAGCTCAAATCAATCATAGACCTCTAATAATAGTGTTTTTATATGTCTTATTGTACTGCTGCCTCTTGGCCAGGTCTCCCTTGAAAAAGTGATTTTATCGCAAGGGACTTCCTGGTAAAATAAAGGTAAAATAAAATAAATAAAAAATAGGCCTCTGGAGCACCATTGACACAGTCTATATTGAATGACACTGAACTAATAGTGCCAAGCCAAGAACCTTCAGAACAAAGGTTTTATTGTTCAAAGCAAATACTGAATTATCAGGTGCTTGAATGGTGTTCACAGTCTCTTTTGCTGCTAGTAGGCAAGGTAGAAACAATTGGGTGTTTTAAGAGGACGATGAACCCAAACATCAAAAATTGTTTAGAAATGATAGGATACCAGTTTTGCTGAAAATCATTAGCTGCAAAGTACAGAACGAATTTCCTGTTTTAATGCCTGTTTATGTCTTTAAATGGGGGTGTCTTGGCTTAGTGGTTAGAGCAGTGCGGTTGTGTTCTGAGAGGGTTACAATTACCCGGTTCGATCCCCACAGCCTCCACTCTGGGTTCCTGAGCAAGACCCTTAACTCCACACAATGGCAGCCCACTGCTCCTGAAGGGGAAGGGTTAAATGCAGAGGGTGAATTTCCCCATTGTGTGACAATAAAGGGATTTAATTTTTTTTTAACATAAAATCACTTTGATATAAAAACTTTTCTGGGAGCACAAAGTTAAAGGTCATGAATTAAGGACACGTCATTTCTCTCAATCCATATGCACCACGTTTCCTCTTTTACTCATCTTTCTTCCCATCAGGCCCACGGTTTCTCCAGACCTGGGAGTAAATCAGAACCATATGTTGGACACATATAAGTCAGAAAAGGTTAGCAATTACATTTTTATCAGCAGAGAGATTTAAGTGGATGTTGCAAAGCTTTTAGGGCCTTCTGTGATTTAGGAGGAGACTTATGTTTGGCTTCTGACAACTGACTCTAAACAGTTTTATGGCCCAGAAAAAACAAAAACCTGGTAGAAGAGAAAATGAGAAGGGTGGAGGGAGGTAAAGACAACATGAAAGAGAGTTAGTGATGGATTAGAGAAGACTGATCACACGAAAAGGAGGACATGATGGGGGAACAAACAGTGAGTTAAACTGCCGTAGATGTTTTTCTTCCATATCAACACAAAAAACGAAGGGACATTTGAAGGACAAGAATAAGTTAATAAGATTCTTACAAGTAGTAATATACAGAAATTTGAACCAGGAAAAGATAAAAAGAGACAGGGAAGGGAGAGTATCATGTCAACTTTCTTTCCTTGGTTTGTTTGTCTTTGGTGGAGAAGAGGGTGGGTGGAAAGTGGTTTACAAAGAGATAAAGACAGAGCTGAAGCTGATTAGATAAAAATGCCCCCACCCCCTCCATGCCCTTTGAAAAAACGTTTTAATATCCTGACTCCATGACTTGCATTTTTTGAAATTTAAATATAAAAGAGTCAGGAATAAAGCCTGTTTCTAATTTCTGTTTTCTGCAGCAGTCTTAGATAAACTTATGCGATCTCGTAAACTGAGCTTGTTTCTTACCTAAATACTTCAAGATTTATGCACCACCCAAACGTACCCAAAAAATAAACATAGGAATACTCTGCATACATGTTTCAATGTTTATTTTTGCTGAATCAGTGGCCATTTTTGAAATGTACTTACAGTATTTCATCTTCTTTTTAGATGAAATTGAAGCCTAAACACTAAAATAAAGAGAGGATGTAGAGAGATTTAGAACAATGGGGCATATGAAAAAGAGAGTTAATGTTGGCTGAGAAGGCCTTTCTTGTTCCTTTATAACTTTTAGTAGATTCCTTTCTAAATAACCAAAAATAGGGGTTTGTTGGTTCATAGTTTGCTTTTCCTCAGCATCATATTTACTACAGTCTCAATAAAGTTTATTGTAACAAGATAGTGGGGTACTTTCCACATGCATTACATGCTTTTACTTAAGCTTAAAAATGTCAGTTTAGGCAACTGGATGTAAAGTTTTCTAAAAGACTTTTTGCCTTTCATCCAAGAGACGTCTTTAGTTCTAACTAGTTGTGAGGAGCACTAAGATTAAGAACTGTAGGTGTAACAAAGAATTAGGGAGGACAGAAGTGGCTGTGATCCCTGCAACTGGATTAGTCATGGAGGTCACCTGGGATGTTAATGGTTCTAATGGGTCATTAACTCCCTCGTCAGAATGGTTTTAGTGACATGTCTCATTGAATTGTGAGTCAGGTGGGCGGTGAATCTTCAGGACATTGCTCCTAAAAGTGCTTTGTAAGTAGGTGGAAGGTTATTTCTAAGACCACCTCCTCTGTTGAGAGATGTTCTTTTTCCAGGTTAACAAAGATGGCTTCCTTAATCCCTCGCTCAAACCATCTGTCTTCCTTGGCCAAAATATGGACACTGTTGTCCTAAAAACTAAGGCTAAATGTCCATTAGCCACCAGGTGTAGGTGAACAGTCCTGTCCTGGGGAGGTGGCCCTCCTGTGTTGAGCCACACGGCTGTGTAGTGGTTGCTTGGTCTCTCCACTGTAAAGGTCTGTACACTCTTCACTACACTGAACGGCAAAGTTCACATTGCCTGTTTTGTTTCTTAGTGTCTTGTCTTTGGGGTGAATGCAATTTTGTCTCAGGGTGTTGCCAAGTTTGAAGTGCACATCGATCCGGTACTGGTAGAAAACCCTCCTGAGTTTTTCAGAGACTCAAGCAACATAAGGAATGATGATGTTCCTTCTGTTTTCTTCCCTCTCAGCAGGCCTCTTCTTGGTTTTTAAAAAAGCACATCTGGGATAACCACAGTTCTTCTGGGATATTCTAGGGCATCCCTGTTCTATCTTTCCTCAGTTGGAGGGTTTTGATGACGCCTAGTTTGTGTTCCAGTGGGTGGTGTGAGTCAAAGGGAGGTACTGGTCAGTCTGTGTGGGTTTCCTGTAGACGTCTACGATTAGAAAAACTGGTCTCCATTAGGGAAACCCACATACACTGACCAGTACCTCCGTTTTGACTCCTACAACCCACCCCATAGATAAGACACCCAAAAAACAAGACCGACAATGTGGTTTACGCCGTTCAGTAAAGCGTGTACAGACCTGTACAGTGGAGTGACCAAGCAACTGCTACACAGGCACAAGGCTCAACACAGGACTCCTCAAGACAGGACTCAGCTGTTCACCTACTGCTGAAGGCTAAAGGACCTTCGTTGGAGGACAACAATGTCCATGTTCTGGCCAATGAAGACAAATGGTTTGAGCGAGGGGTTAAGGAAGTGGTTTTTGTCAACCTTGAAAAAACATCTATCATCAGGCATAACCTTTCACCTAATTACAAAGCACTTTTAAGAGCAATATCCTAAAGATCCACCTCTGACCTGCCCTCACCTGACTCACACTTCAATGAGGCATTAGACCGAAACTGCTCTGCAGAGGGAGTTAACAACCCATCAAAACCCCCTAACTACCATTTGCACCCCCCAGGTGACCTCCATGGCCAATCCAGTAGGAGAGATCAGAACCACTGTTTGTTTCCCCTAATTCTTCCAACATCCAATGTTATATTAATCTCAAAGCTCCCTGCCACTAGTTAGAAATGAGTCAGCCTCTTAGATGAGAGGAGAGACGTCTACTAGAAAACTTCATGTCCAGTTGCCTAAACTGAACTTTTCAAGGTGACCATGACATTTTGAATTGAAATAGACATTTTGAATTGAAAAAGCTTCCTGGATGGGAAGCGAAAACTTGGAAACAAAGTTCAGTGGATTGTTTTTAATTTTATTTTTTTGGAATGACTTTGACCTGGATGACTGAGAACGTTCACAGATATGCTGTTACCTAATTTTTCTATTGGTTTTGGAAGTAAATGAGTGCCATCTTGCTCATTTGTTTTTGGAAACAATTCATTCCTAAATGTGTTCAGTACACATTGTTGTTGTTTTTCTGGATCAAACATAGTCTTTTCTGAGAAACTGGAACCAATTATAAAAGTTGTTTGTTTACTTTAATTTGTATGGGGAAAAAAACAGTTCTCTTTTAAAGTTAGTCAGTGAGTTATGTATTTTTTTTACCACTTAGTGAAGTGTAAAGCAGCAAATACACACTTGTCCCACTTGTAAAGCACATAGAGGTTTTATCCTAGGTACTCTTCAGTGAAATCCAGGAATTCACATTGTCAAATTGGATTTATTTCAGTATATAATTTCAATTTTAGAGCAAGACCAGGCCAGGTTTGCTCACACTACACTAAGGATTTTCCCTTAGGGGCCCTGGCCGTTTGCTTTGGGACATTGACATCCTGGATACTTATTGCAATCAACGAGCACACTCTAACCCTCACAATATAGCTGTTAAACAACTGAACAATTTTATAAACAGTAGTGGATTGTTTATTTATTTTTTTTCTGTGTGGGTTAAAATAATTGTTCATCCATATCAGTTCACAAAGTATGTCTAAAGTGTAAAAAGGTTTGAAATTGCAGCTAAAACAGAAATCCGCAATACTTCACATATGCTTTCTAAATTTTGTCATATGGCGTGCTTTCCTTCAAATGCCTGTTTGAGCTCTCACTCTCTTACGTGCTCTGTGTTCACAGTTATTTTATTCATGACGTGTATCGCTATGATTTCCAGAAAGTGCTTAGTCATACTGACCTATAGGAGAATATTTACGGTCTAACCTCACAGCTGACCATTTCAGTCAAACACGGCCCTGCTTTATCTGTATCCACAGGCAAAACCCCTCGACCTTGGTTGTTTAGGTTGTACAAACAGCAGAGAGGAAGCTGATATTACCTTGTGTGTGTGGGTGGCTTTCTGATGAAAGGAGATTTAAAGTCTGGATTTGGTTGGTCCAAATAGGGACGGACAGATAAAACAAAGACATATATAAGCATTTTGTTTCTTTTTTTTTGTCTTCAGGACCTGGACAACCTTCAAATTCAGCTAGAGGAGGTGCGTTTCTTTGACTTGTTTGGGTACAGCGAGGAGGAGGGGGGCTGGCTCTGCTTCATGTGCAACAACCCTGAAAAGGCCACAGGTGAACACAAACACACACAAACAGGCAGAGAACATGACCATCTAAAAAATGAGACCCCTCCTCTTTTATATTAGCTCAGTTGGCATTCAGTGCTCTTTTATTCCCCAACCTGTCAAATTGCACCTCTGACCCTGTGCTCCACGTTCCGCTGTCTTCACCAAATCAAGCACAGGTTTTTTAGAGACTGATGCGTTTCTCTGGGGAGCTTAGTGGGATGTTTTCGCTCAAAATTCCTGCAAGGAAACCAATCTTTTCTCAGAGTAGTTATGGGAACTTGAACAAAGAATGAAAGCCAGGTTTAAGAGATGTGCTAGGTCACTGAAAGTTGGCTCCTTCTGTTGTACTGACTCAGTCCTGATGAAGAGGAATCCAGCTTCGCTCCTCTATTACCTAGCCTTAAATATGGCGGCTACAGACAGTCACGGGTGGAGCTAGATGGGGGGCCAGGGGTGGCCATGGCCACCCTTAGCCAATCATTGGCCACCCCTACCATTTTTCCCTCTAATCCTTATTATGGGCCTTGATCTGTTTTGAAGTATTTTGGGTCAGGCAAGGATTTCAAAGGAGTTCAATATTTTAAATAGAGATACTCATATTTGCAGTGAAGTATAAGTAATTTTCATTTTCACTATGATGTCATCATTAAATTCAACTCCATGAAATTCTTCTTTGTCTTACTAAAAGTAGGACATACACAGTAAATCCTAATTTAAATGAGTCGATTATCAATTACACACCCAATGTTAGTAGTTGTTATCTGGGGTCTTTGAAGGGCATGATAAATATTGTAAAGGTAAAACAGAATAAAGTCAGATGATGAAGTAAAATATTTGTCATGTTCAAAAGAAAGTACACCCTTGAAAGCAAAGTCCAGTGGATTTTAAAAAAACTTTTTTGGGAAGTACTCCTTCGTTCTAAGATTGAAATGTCGTGCAGAGATGTTAACTCCCATTTTTCATTTCCATTTTTTTTTCGACCAAACAATGACAAACTAGCTCTGGAAAAAACTGCATCAACAGACAAGACTATAGAACTGAAGAAAACGAAATACGAGGGGTAGCCAGAAACAGTAGCTGAAGAGAACTAGTGGACAAGTAGGGGTCTGTTTACAAAACAGGCAGTTTCTTTCTCTACTACTAAAGCATTTCCTGAAAATTAGATAGTTCCACACATAATTTAAGGATTTAAGCTGAGCGAATGCATGGTACAGTTATAAACAAGTCATGATGTTCAAAGAGAAAGCAGTGCATAACTGTAAAGTTGCCAATAAAAAGATTTCCACGCATGTCTTTTCAGCAACTTTAGTCTCAGCCCTTAATTAAATCCAGTGTTATTCCTTGCCCTTGGAAGTGGGTAAATTATTTGACTTTTGCTGAGAATAAAATTACATGTTTACTGGGAACAGATACTTAAGCAAAATGTGGTAAAAGTTTTGTGTTTATCAACATTTAATGAAGGTCTTTGATCAGAAGTAGAGGCATCCCATCTCTCAAACTCCTTGATATTTGATATTCTCGGCTATGAAAAACTTCCACCATCACCATAAAGCACACACTGTGTTAAAGTGGTTTACATAATGTGAAAATAACAGGTTCCATAATTTGGTTTTATCTTTCTTACTGTGGAAAACCCACAAAATGGAAAATAACGAGTTAAACGCTGTAAAAGAGTTTTAAGTTCACGTAAGAAGAAGTTAAAGGATGCCTATTTGGACGGATGTAGTTAAAGCATTATGTAAGGGGAGGAGGGTAGGGATAACTCAGAAAGAGAGCTTTTTGGTCACTAATGAGTTGCTTTAAGCCATCATACTGTACATCACTCTGATGTTTGATGGCTGCTAATAAGACGCCAGAAAACAGGAAGCTGTTTGTTGGCGTGAATAACTGACCAGATGGGACTGCCTGAGGTGAAAGCAGTAACTATATCAGGCTGTTCGGTTGATCTTTTTTATATGTTGCAGCTGAAGTTGTCATGTTTAAAGCCCAGCATAAACCTGATTTAGCGTGTAGTAACTGAGAATAGGAAGTAAGCTACACTTACTGTAGATTCAGATACCATAAGTTTATGGGATTTTACTTTAGTTCATCAAATATCATCATTAGTACCTGATGGACAGTCCTGATAATGGTCGCTGTCATGGAAAACAGGGGATCCTTTACTTGTTTAATGTGAATATTGATATTATGTGATATATGGTTGAGCTAAATGGCTGGAATCTTCAGTGGGCCGAACATCTCATAGTTTATTAGAGTTTCAGAAAATTTCAGTGTTTATCAGCAGTCTCTCAGAGCTTTGTAAGTTTACCATTGGATGAAAGTTTCTGGAAAATTAATACCCTAGGAGATGAGCCATGAAAATGATTGCTAAATACCTCTTTAAAAATATAAACACTTCTTCAATAAATCAACTTAATGAATGACTAATTACCAAAATACACACAAAGAAGGTTCTGATCCAAAAAATGCTCCAAAGGAAAAAAGTATCTGTGATGAGCAGACTTATCCACATACCGGTATTTATATCAGGCATTATTTCTTAAAGAAAAGCAATGAAAGATACTTTTTCTACTCAAACCTGGTTTTAATTATCATGTAGGAGAAGAAACCTGAGGAAAAATTCACTGGATAAGTCGCCAACTTCACAGAAAACCGAGCAGGGATGTCAAGGAAGGTAGAATTTATTCTCTGTTCCAGTAAGGTGTGTCTCATGTTTCCAAAAATGCTTTATTAAGACCCAAGGTACAAACTCAAGAAGTGAATTGTTTCAACTGGTGGATCACATGCAGAGGGTAACGACAGAAGTCAAATGATTGAAGGAAAACTTTTTTTCTTCGGTGCAACATATTTTAGGGACACTGAGGATCTGTTTTTGCTCAGCTGTTTAGCTCATTGGGCTCAGGGTGGTAACAAGCTTACATAAAGCCACCATCAATAAAAAATAACAGGTTGTAATACATGTAAGAAATGTGTTCATTATGGACAACACGTCTCACGTTAAAACAACAAATTTGTTTTGTAAACTGCATGTCATAGTTTTACAGTCAGGTATATTTTTGTCTTAAACCAATGCTGATTATTTTCAGGCTGAAAATAACAGATATGTCTTTCAACAGAAATCTGATATGCTCTGATGTTGTCCATAACATTTTGAGAATTGCCAGGATCCAGTCAGAATCTGGTCTCTTACTACATAAAAAGGCTTTTCTTTCCTTGATCACTTCTCTACCTGCTGCAATAACTTAGCCAGCTGCTGGTATTTGCTGGACTAAATATATTTAGACATCTGTGTTTGAATCCTTTGCCAAAATAAAGGCAGAAGCTGATGCAAAACAAGAGAAACAAAAAAATAAAGCATGTTAAACAGCTTTATGAATTTACCCCATTTATTATCTGAATTTCAGAGTTTGGTTTATGATGTCTTGCCATCCTAGCCTGTTACATGAAAAATAGACATAAAGACTGACTTTTAGAATGGAATAAGAATAGAATAATCCTTTCTTGTTGTATATTGGAGAAATTTGGGTGATTTTAGCAGCGAGGGGAAAGTTTATAACAAACTTTACAAGAACCAGCAGAGATTTTATCAGTCTATTAAGTTTGTTGGTAGAAGTAAAGATAACTAACAGCTGCAGAAACGAAAGATCTTTAAAAAAAAAAAAATCCTTGATGCCCCTTGGACCAAGCAGTCATTCAGGGAAGGATCCCTCCATGATTGAAATAGTTTCATGCATGGGTTGAGAGAAATGTTCCAACAACTTCTTAGATATAGACAGATAGAAATGGGGAAATAAAAAAAGAGAAATTCTCAACAAAAATATTTATTATTTTCATTATTCTCTATATGTATTAAATGGATTATGTATGCTCTCATACGTTTGGATTTGTATATTTACCTTGCTGAGTGTTAATTTGGCGCAATCAATGTTCAGCCTTCTGTTAGGACACAATAATCTGTCCCTGGAATCAAACTGCTCGCATGTTGCCAAGTTCTCTTTGAAAATCTAAGTCTCAAAGCATTTCAGAATCAGTTCTAATAAGTCTCAGGATCAGAGTCAACATTGAGGTATGATCAGGCTCAACTCCAATAAATGAGGCTGCCACATTGTATGCATTTAATCGTTAACTCTGTAATCACCTCTGATTACAGATTCTTCTTCTGTTGTTTTTATTTCCTCTGCCAAGACTGCTATAGAAAAGTGCAATCATTAGAGAGTGACAGAAAGCGGAGTGAAGGCACATCCTGTTCTTACGGAAATAAACTGCATATCCTTTGAATTATCTTCTTTTTTTAAAGTTGAACGAAAGATAGTCATTACAGCATCTGTTTTCACCTGGTCATGAAATGGTTTGATGTAAGAATCAGTAGGTAAACTTAAAAATTAAAAGCGTTTTGTTTTAATTCTTAAAGGAGCAATAGGTGAACATCTCTTCACTATGTGGGTTGTTGAGCATTGTCTGTAGACCAAAACGAAACCTTTCTCTTTCTCCACTCCAGCTGCAGCTTCTCAACCAATGTGCATATTTGCAAAGGATAAATACATAGAAAAATAGTGTTACTTTTCAGAGGAACATGTCCAGCGCAAAAGTAAATAGCTCATAACTTTGAAATAATAGCAAGAAAACGTCATTTTGGCAAATGATCATCCCCAGATAAACTTTTCGCTCTCCTGGGCTCTCTCCCTACCATTTTGCTCCGATGCTAGGCTGCTCTCTCTGGGCAAGAAGGGCCTAAGCATTGAGTGGAAGCTGTTCACATAGACTTACATGCAGGCATTGCCAGCCCAGTTTGTTTACATGAGATTGGAGAACAACAGATGTTGTGGATGATGATATTCCAGCCAAAGATATACCTTTACTTCTTCATATTACAAATGTTTCAATTCTATCTGTCCAAAATGATGAATTATTGCTTTATGCTCCTTTAGCAAACTATCTTATCCGTGTATAATGTATTTTATCTTGTGGATATAATTCCCTTTTTGTTTCTTATTTCACAATAAACATGTAGGGAAGTATTGTAAAGCAGATTTCACACCTGTGTAAAACATCAGAAAAGTGTCTGGGATCCTTATTAGCAGTCAAAGAGAGCTGGACTATGATAAATAACAAAATATTTTATACACCTATCACCTCCTTTGCTCCTCATTGCTTAATACAATACAAGGGTTGCTATTTAAAATGTGTTGAAATATATATTACATTTGAATTTAAGTATGAAACCTACAACTTTGTATTGTCCACTGCCAGCTACTCTGCACAATCTGGAGGTGGGTGTTTTTCCCCACAGCTCAGTCCTATACTATTGGGCATGCAATGCACAGTTAGTGGTAAAGAACAAACTATTAATGGTTCTCCTTTAAAAAAAACTCTTAGTGGTTGTAGTTGCATTACTTTAAAGCAATAAATTACTGAAAAAAGGAGGTTTACCATGTGTGCTTATGTATCCTGCTGAATACAACCTGTAGCCTTTATAGTATAATGACTCTGGCATTTTGTTCCCAAAATGATACAACTGTAAACAGCAGTTTATTAAAATCTGTTTTGTTTTATGATGTCTTTCTGATCATAATTACTGTAATGTCTTTAAAATGTATGTTAATGATCAGTATGAAGTGTACATGCTTATGGAGGAATACATGAAGATTGTAGATTATGCAATAGAAGCTGAGTGCTTTAACTGGATGGTGAAAACATGCTAATATTCTCCAGACATGTTGTCAAATCCAAAATTATGTAGTAAATACAGGGGTTGCTTCTAACAGCTAAGCTATTCTAAATACTCAAATGTAGACAAATATTATAATATTACAATAATGAGATTTTCCTCCTAAAATGTACAAATACAAATATATAGTCCTCCTTGTTACCCCCTTAATGCTAGTGTATGCTATAGTTTACTTTAAGCCGGCCATACACGGTACAATTTTTTTCCGATATTGGGCCGTTTCTCCAGTCGTGCAAGAATTTTTCGATCGGGCCGAGTTTCAGCCTGATCATGCTTCATGTAGTGTACAGGGCATAATGAGGAACGTGATTTGCTGAACACTTAATTATAGAAATTGAGTAATTTAAAAGTCTGACATTGATATCTGTCAGAAATTGAAGTACATTCACCAATCAGGTATATGTAGCATTATAAACACCTGCCTAATTGGGTGTTTGTGCCGTTTTTGCTCCCCAAGCAGCCAAGACCTGCTGAGTCATATACTCTCAGTCCTAAGGAGGTGTTCAAATTATGAGGTGGGGGATCCATGGATAAGGCTTGTTTTTCCAGCACATCCCAAGAAAATAATCAATTGTACATAGATCCAAGAATAGTGATGGCCAAGACAAATTATTTGCTTTAACCTAATAAAGACATAGAGCTGGCCAAACCAACTTGGCCAACATATCTTTGATGGTCTGAATCACACAAAATCAATAACAGAAGGCTCCCTAGCAATTCAAATGTGCAGAATAAAACTGTACTGGATTAGTTATCTGTCTTTACACACATTGTGATATTTAATACACTTAAAATTCAATGTTGTTATCATATGTCTTGTGACATTGACAGAAAAAACTGTACAAGATGTTAAGTCATGCGTTACTAATACGTGGGTACGACATAGATAAGTTATAGCCAGTGTGTGATGATTTGCCACACATCCTCCTTTTTTGCCCTGATGCTGTTCATCTAATATTTTTGGTGCATCCACCAATGACCATGCAGTCTTGCGGGTCCTGCCGGCTCCTTCTGGATGAAGTCAATAATGTGGCCAATGTCCGCATTCTTTTTACGTCTCAATCCATATGCCTTCAGCACCCGTATTAACTATCTCTTACTTATTACAACTCAGTGTTTAATTACATGAGATTGCAGGATATCAGTATAGTTCATTCCAAGGTTGAAATAAAATGAAATCAAGCCTATGTTCTCTATGTTTCATTAACGTATGCTACATCACCATAAAGGAGCTCCCTCACAAACCACTTATCTATCTCGTACCCACACATTAGCAACACGTGGCCACGACTTAATATCTTGTAAACTTTTTTCTGTACATGTCACCAGACAGACTCCGTAATATCCTGCTGCAAACAGATATTATATACATCAATGGGGATATACACATTCAACAATTTGCTCAAACCAAAATATTTTAATGAGGAACATGCTGGTTTATATTTGGATTACATGGCCAAATTAATCTTAGACTGTTAATAACTTGTTATATTGTTATATTATATTTTTGTTTATATCAACCCAATTCACATTAAACTAATGCCATTTGAAACTTTAAAAATAAGCATCTTCTTCACCTTAAGTTTTCAAAATATAGATAAATCAAAATACATTAAATAAAATATCATAATCCAGATTGTAATCTTGGTCAACAATTATTTAAGGAGGCTGATCTTATTTCATTGAATAATTTTCTTAGTCACAATATGCACTGAGGAAGAGGGGGTTAGGTAATCAATTATATACAGACTCATACTTTAAACTAGTGTTGCGCCGATGCCATTTTTTGGCCCTGATACCTGGCTGTGCAGTATTGGCCAATACCGATACCATAATAATGTAAAATAATTGCCATCATGGCTTTGTCAAGCTGCTGCCTACCTTTGTGAAGCAGGAAAAAATCTAATACAAAGTGAAACCAGTAGAACTTTTTATTGCCTACCAGGAGTGGGTGACAATAGTTGAAGAAACGTATGGCTCTCAAAATGGTATCGGTGCCCTATTTGTTGGTACTCGCCGATACCGATACCACCATTTTAGGGCAGTATCGGGGCCCCGTCCGATACTGGTATCGGTATCGGTGCAACACTACTTTAAACTATTTAGGATGATCTTTGTCATAAGTTAGATTGCACAATGTGCTGTAGTAGCGTTACAGTTAGTTTTAATCTTATGTGTTTAGCAAGTTTTTAAAGGGTGCCTTCGGTAATTTTATATCAAGGTTTATTTGCTCTGATTATAAATATAATCCTCCTACCCATAAAAATAAAAATTATAAATTTGCTGAAGTTGAGATGGTCAGGTTGTTCACTGAATAAGTATAACTCGAGCTAACTAAATTAAAAGTTGTTGACCTAATCAAAGATATTTTAATGATTTTTTTTGTTTTTTTGACGTAAGATTTATTTTAGAGAGTTGAACGTGACCTTGTCTTTAGAAGTCAATCCTTGTCTTTTCAATCTACTGGTCCAAAGGGGTCTGATATCTGATTCTAAAACACTGAGAAGACTGACTCATTTTACCACAGTGCAGTGCTGCCAGTTAGAGGTGGGTTGATTGATGCTAAAATAGATAATATTGATAATATTGATATCAACGCTGATATTGATATAAAAAAAATACTTGTGGATAAAACAATACGCACTGACTGCAGCAGATTCAAGTCTCCCAGTCTGTGTCACAGCACTCTGCTGCTCCTCCTCCCCTCTCATCACTGTCTTGCACGGTCACATGACTCAGCTTGCTAAGCAAGAATATTTGTAATGATGTGGTAATTTCGTTTTATTGACGAAAGATTTTTGTTTTTAAAATGCTTTGAGTCTTTGTTATTGGTCATACTGACCCTGTATTGACTTGGTACTGGAGCGATGCCAAAATATTAACTCTACTGCTTTCAAGAAGTTATTGGTCTAGCACACCTAGTGACTAAATTTTAAAATGTTGCGTTAATTAATTTGACCTTTTTTTTACATAATTTACAACTTTTTTTTTCTTTACATCTTGCGTATTGTTTGCAAATGCATTAATTTAACAACATTTAAAAGCAATGTGGAAATAGAATATTGAAAAAACAACAATAAAGATTATGTATATGTTCTATCCCAGTTTGTACCTCTAACTGTCTTCCTCTGTGATTGTTTGACCCTTTAGTTGTGAACCAGGAGGGCCAGCCTCTGATCGAAGGAAAGCTGAAGGAGAAGCAGGTCCGCTGGAAGTTTATCAAGCGCTGGAAAACCCGATACTTCACCTTGGCAGGAAACCAGCTCCTCTTCCACCGGGACAAATCTGTACGTAGGCAGTAAAAAAAAATATAGAAAGACACCTCACAAATCAAACAGGCACCCACTTTATGGCCCCTTAGTGTGGAAAGAATCCCCTATTTTTCACTTGAGTTATGATGAAATTGTACATGAAATAATACAAATCTGACCTTTATGAGAGCTTATTGTCCCTTTGGAACATTAGAAGAGTCTCTGAACTTTGACCCACTTTGTACATTTTAGTGGGAAACATTTGAGGTATGAGTTAAGGGCACCTTCTTCCACTTTGAGCAATATCCTTTTATGGAAGTAGAAAACAGATACAAGATTAATGCACAACACTGTGCATGACGAAATGACTAATCCCCCATAGGAGGTTCCAGGTGATCTACCCATACAGATCCCCTTTTAAAGGGCTTAGTGGAAATAAAAATGACCAACCATGTCTGATCAGAAGCATGCACTGAAACCAGGAGAGGTGATGGAAATCAGTAGAGTGATAAAGGTTGGTGAAAAAATGTAATTTAATGTTATGAATATATTTTTACTTCACATTTTTAATAACATGCATGTCGCAGTTTTCCGATATCACTTCATATTAAAACCATTTGTGTCCTATGGGTGTCACATGTTTACAGTCAGAGTACTCAAGTTTGGCTCAAAATCATTTTTGGGCATCTGTAAAACATAAGCAGCGGTTAAAACATAGGCAGGAACAGGACTGGACTCTTTTTCTTTCTTTTTCTTTACCCCCCACTTTCAACAATAGTCGTTGTGCTGCAGTCCAGATGTTGATAGATTCTTTTTTGCAGCAGCGGCTCATTGGGAGGATTGTGTGCCTTTGTTCTGGGAGCTCAGTTTGTCCATGCCAGCATGTTCTGGAGGTGGTTGCTTTGTTGTGACATAATGTATCCCCCCAACTGAAAAAGGGAAGGTTTTTGTTTGCCAGTTATTTCAAAACAGTTGTGAAATCTTCTAAAATCCATTCAAAGTGGATAAACAGTAAAAGGTAGAACGTAGGCATTAGATTTGCAGCTTGCAGTTAATCATCATGACAGCTTGAAATTGTTGCCTTGCAAATGGATTTAAACCCGATGGTGCGGAAAAAATCAATCTCTTATTAATTTCTTTTTACATATATTGATTTATGAGTGCTGAGGGGTTGTTTATTCTATTAGGGAGTGATTGAGATAAAAATAATTGTCTCATAATAAGCTAGACTGTTTCTCAGGGTTTTTATTCCTAACATTATATTCTCCAACTGTCTGTAAGACCGTTTAGAGACCTATTTGGAGACCTTCACAGCCTTTTCTGAGGGGTTTATATTAGTGAGACAAATGTTGTCTAGCCAGTGCAGGGCTGGACGTTATGCCATATTTTTCATTTGTTCTTTGCAAAGAAAATAAAGTGCTGGCTGAGTGAAATACCTTCTATCTCCTTTATTTAACTGGATTGCATAGTTGAATACCTTTATTTCGACTGCAATTAGTAAACCTTGGCCCATTTTGTCCCATTAAAACAAACTATCTTTTTAATTTTTTTTCATTGGTATTTAATCTTGTATTAACAGAAAATCAAGTCTTTTTCTGCCTCTATCTGGTTGTACCTCAGCATCATCCTGTTTTCTCCTCCAATCATTATCCTATCAGCTTTCAGTGGTGGATGAAGTACTCATCAGTAGTACTGATAGTCAAAACTTACTCAACTATAAGTAAAAGTAACTCTGTCAAAAATCTAATCAAGTAAAAGTATTGAAGTACTCACAGTACTTTTGAAAATATTGTAGTATTTAAAAGTCCATGCATTTAAAAGTATTTAAGTATTCAAAAATACCAATACAATTTTCTAATGTTAATACTTTTCTCTGTAATTTTAAGAGTCATTTTAGAGAATCTTGTCACTTTCAGAAATCATCTGATGTATTGATGCATAAGAACCATTCTTCTACAAACTCTACACCACTTGGAAAGAAGTTCAGGATAAAAATGCCTCAAAAAATAAAGACAGCTATTTTGATTATTATTTCTTATTAAAAATCAAAACAAAAAAGAAAACAGTGCCTTGATTCTCCTCACGCTTTCCCCATGGAATAAAGGTTTAAGGTTGAATCTATTACCACAAAGAAACTCCAACTCTGCTTTGAGAACTAATCCTACCGAACAACTTGGCCACATGGTAACAACTAACAGCTTAATAAAATTATAAACTACAAATAATATCTGCCCTGAGTTTCTCACATCTGTGGAATGTCATGCAAATCTCTAAACAGTGGTGTCCTAATTCAGTCCTAAGGGCTGCTATCTTGCTTGTTGAAACTGCATTTCAAGAAAGAAAAATAGCAACAGCAGATTAAAAAGCTAAGCTGAACCAAAAGTAACAAGTAAATAGCAGCTTCCTAGAAATGTTACTCCCCCCCCCCCAAAAAAAAAAAAAAAAAATAAAAAATAAAACTTACTCAAATGAATATAAGATAGAAAAAAAGCACTTAAAGGAGAAGTTCGGTTTTTAACGCTTTTAGCCGATTTTCTGTAGTGTCCAGGATGAAATCGAATGATCGACACCAAAATTTTGACAATTGGTCCTGTCTCTGCTTTTTGGCTCATTTAGAATCCCCCCCTGGCTGCTTTAGAATGGCTTCCATAGAGCATGTCCGATAATGTCCTTAAAACAACCTTAAACGTTCTTTTTTTTAAATATGCTACTCACCGGGTCGTCAGCACTGTTCAATGACGTTCCAAAAAAAGTTTCGTAAAGAAAAAACGTTCCTGTAGTGTTTTATTTAGCATTTTGTAAATCCCATTGAGTTCTGTTGGAATAGTCAATATTCCCCTGCCACCGGAAACGGAAATGGGGCCTGTTTACACAGTTGTAGTCTTTTCGCTTCACTCGTTGTACTCCAACGTCGAGAATCAAGAATCCACCTTTCGTATTCCATTTTCAGAGTTTTTTAAAGTGTTTAACAGAGACGTTAGCACCTCGACGTCGGAGTACACAGAGTGAAGCGAAAAGACTACAACTGTGTAAACAGGCCCCATTTCCGTTTCCGGTGGCAGGGGAATATTGACTATTCCAACAGAACTCAATGGGATTTACAAAATGCTAAATAAAACACTACAGGAACGTTTTTTCTTCACAAAACTTTTTTTGGAACGTCATTGAACAGCGCTGACGACCCGGTGAGTAGCATATTTAAAAAAAAGAACGTTTAAGGTTGTTTTAAGGACATTATCGGACATGCTCTATGGAAGCCATTCTAAAGCAGCCAGGGGTGGATTCTAAATGAGCCAAAAAGCAGAGACAGGACCAATTGTCAAAATTTTGGTGTCGATCATTCGATTTCATCCTGGACACTACAGAAAATCGGCTAAAAGTGTTAAAAACCGAACTTCTCCTTTAAGTACAGTCAAGTACATGTTCTTTGTTACATTCCACCACTGTCAGCTTTGAAAGAAGTCCATGTTCCCTGCTGATGAAAGCTTTCCCTCAGCATGGTACTACCATCTCCGTATTACATTGAGTAAATATTCTTTCTGGGGCTAAGTTAGTTTTCTGTCACACACAGTGTTTTACATGCAGACCATGATGTTTCATCTCAGTCCCCACTGACCGGAACACATTCCTACATGTATTTGGCGTGTCAATTAAATGATTTGTGGCAAAATAAAAAAAAACTCCCCTTATTGCGTGCTATTAGCAGCCTTCTTCTTTATTTCATATTATAAACAGTAGGTTGGTCATAAAGGTTATGGACAGAGATGGGAAGTAATGAAGTACAAATACTTCGTTACTGTACTCAAGTAGATTTTTCTGATATTTTTACTTTACTTTGCTACTTATTTTTATGGCGACTTTTTACTTCTACTTCTTATATTTTTACACAAATATCTGTACTTTCTACTCCTTACATTTTAAAAAATTGGCTCGTTACTTTAGTTTTGAATCATTTCAATGGAGTTACCGTTATTATTTTTCACGTCATCAATACCAAATTCAATCTAATTGGATGGGAATCTATGTTGCATTTGACGCACCACTACAAGATGAATCGACAGATTCGGCGGTATTCATTGGCAGCAAATCATTGCAGCTTGGTGGCGGTGGCGTTAGCATAGTAGTATGGACGACGAGATGATTGAAAATGAACACAACGGAGATCTAGTCCTATTGGCAGACATCCATTTAAAATGTAGGCAACGGCATGAAAAAAGTGGTTTCTACTTTTACTTTTATACTTTAAGTAAATTTACAAGCCTGTACTTTGTTACTTTTACTTGAGTAAAGAAGTTTAATCAGTACTTCCACTTTTACCAGAGTATTTTTTAACACAAGTATCTGTACTTTTACTCAAGTACGGAAAGTGAGTACTTTTGCCATCTCTGGTTATGGATATATGGTCTCTACAGCTTATCCAGAGTTCCATGGACCTCCTTGCTACTTGAACCTGCCATGCATCTATGTGGATGCTGTTTGTAAATTAAATCAAATCCAGTGGTCTGACTGCGTAGTCACATCAGATCTTTAAAGTTTTTATTTATTTTTTATTCCAAACAATCTATTGTTCAACATCAACCTGACAGCCATTTGCCGTAGTGTCTTGGTCTATAAAATCATGAAATCCCAACAAAATACATTAAAGTTTGTAGTTGTAATTTTATTAAAAAGGAATAAGCTCAATGTTTATGAATGCATTTGCAAGGCATCAAGTAATGAATGTGTTGTGTGTTTCTGCAAAAGATCTCGTGATTTAATTTAGCTGTTAACCCTATAATGCCAAATGTATCGTATTTGATACATACGGTTTCTGAAATGTTTTGCATCTGACACCTTTTGCATAATTTAATGGTAAAAACTTTGCTCAAAATCCTATTGTACACAATCAGATATACCTGATAACAGCCAGTAGAAGACTACACAAAAAATAATCTTGACTTATCGCATAGTAATAAATTATTAATATCAAAAATGTATTTCTGTTTTTTCTTTTTACATATTTTGTTAAAAGGGCAAATAAGGAATTCAAACAAAAAAAAAGTAATTTTCTGTTTTGTTTTTTTCTTGGATCGGGCTTTAAATGGTTAAATTCATCTGTTATTCAGTAGTTGAACATTTATTCTAGTCAGTGTTTGCATACTTTTTATATAAAGACATAAAAATGTAATGAATCCCTCAAATTAAACTGGACATTTAAAGAGAGATAATTCTATGTTAAAACACAGCTACACAGCAAACCTCTGAAGAATATGTTTGCTCTTTAATGAGGACCAGAACAAGGACTGAGGCCAAACCCCAGGCTGACCTGGACCAAAGTTTGTTAAGACCTGCTGCTAAGGGAAAAATGGAAATATTATATCATGTATATCAAATATCATCATCATTAAAAAGATCTTTATATTCCCTCACATGCAGAATATGCCAAAAACCCAACTGTCATTGGGAATATAAAAGTAATACAGTATAGATTTATAGTTCGAGTATTTTTGCACATCATAATGATTTTATAACCTGTTTTGTTTTATTTTGGTATATTTTTATTCAGTGGTAAAATCTAAGAAAACATATTTATATTGAGGTTTTGCTAAATATGCATCCTCTGTGCTGTAACTCTGACTTGGATGTAATGAATTTAATTTCTAATGCTTAAGACAGTAAAACATGTTGAAGTGTAAAGAAGAAAAAAATCTTCATAAATGTATCTTTTTTTAACAACAGATTCATCCAAAGGTTTGAGCAAAAAAATTCACCAGCTAGATAAAAAGAAAATTGTAACATAAAACGGTGTTTGTATGGATGGTATTGGGATTAATAAAGATTTTAAAAATGGTGTTATGGAACTAATACTGTATGAGAATAAAATTAAGTTTACAAAAAATATTAAGGCATTCGTCAGAAGGCTTTTCAACATGAAGAAATGCCTCATAAAGGATGTGGACATTTGCACTGGACTCTGCAGTATGCTGTGGTTGTAGCCACATAATTAATGATGGTGTAAGAATGCATGTTTGTGATTCAGCATCCAGACCACAACACCACCCAGATTTGAACTGATTACGATTGAACATGGCAGACTTTTCATTTCCTGTCCTGCAGGAAAAGCTGAGTTGTTGCCTTCTTCTGAAATACACACTCACTGTTGCATAAAAAGCAGATTATTTAGAAAAGATAGAGCTTTCTCTCTGTCGTTTTTGCTTTTCATAATCCTTTTTTTTGTCTTATTTACAGAAAGATGAGCTGGATGACATTCCCATTGAGCTGAGCAAGGTGCAGAGTGTCAAGGTGGTTTTTCATCTGTAATTTTTGGGGGTTTTTTTATCTGTAAATACATCTGTTGCATAAAACCTAGTACATTACATTGAGTTTTGTTGTTGCAAGTACAAAAACAAAAATGTTTTAGGGTTATATTTTGGCATAAGCCGCGGTAATATTAGTATTTATACTCCATGTCTCCTCAATTAAAGCCTAGATGTTTTAGAGGGTATTTCACATCCTAAGTCTACATAGAGCAAAATCAAGTGGCAGCAGCTGCTTCCATCAACATCCAGATGTTGTCAACTGGTCTTTCCCTTTCTTTATAGGTGGTGGCTAAGAAACGCAGGGATCGCGGTCTACCAAGAGCCTTCGAGATCTTCACAGACAGCAAGTCTTATGTGTTGAAAGCTGAAGACGAGAAACACGCAGAGGAGTGGCTGCAGTGCATCAATGTGGCAGTGGCTCAGGCCAGAGAGAGGGAGAACAGGGAGGCCACCACCTATCTGTAAGAACAGATCCAGCACAGACTGACGGGAGCTGAATCATTCACAGTGCTGTATTTATTTCAGGGGGGGTGCATGCTTTTACTTTGACTCTTATGCACAACCACCAGGGCAGAAAGGGAGGAGATAGATGTAGAATAAGGTCACAGAGCCGAGTTGGTGAGTAGGTGTGAAACCGCCTCAGCAATGCCAGCGTTGTCTTGTAGGCTTGTAGGGGGGCTGAAAGGCAGAGGTGACGATATTGCAAAATTCTTTTGTCCAAAGAAAAGATGTGTCTTTCAAATGTGAACATCAAGTCTGCTGCTGAAGCTTTGACTTGTTGAACAAAGATTTATTATGCAGTATTTTTTGTACTGAATTAGAAACCAGCAATAACAGACTGTGTTCTGCTAAGATGGAGTGTTGATCCCATTTTACGGTACTGTGCCTAATTTTACCTGCGTGGAACACGTCCTCTTAGGCTTCTTACAGACGTTCATCTGTGGATCAGGAATCAAACACTAAAGGAGTTTAAGAATATTTAAGCTAAAACAACCATTATAGAAGTGTCCAATCTGTTTTAAAGTTTGGAAAAGACTGAGGATGTTTTCAGTGTCGTGTTATGAAGGAATATTGACTTTGTTTTCAACTTAAAGCAATAATAAAAATAAACTTTTAGCAGCTGGAATAAATACATTCTTGCAAACTGACTATAGGTCAAATAGCAGGAGAACAATGTCGACTTTAAACTTACAAAATAAAAAAACAAGGAACAATCTGCTTCATTGTTCCTTGTTTTTTAAAGGAAGAAGTTAGATTAAGAGTTAATCAAATTAGGCCAACTTTTGGCTAGCAGTTATATTGTTTTATGTTTATTTTCCGTAATTTTAGGTATTGTTTTACCATTTTTTTTTTTTTTTTTTTGTGTACCTAGACTACCTGGATCATTCTTTATCCAATATTTGGTCTTCCAGTTCTTATTTTTTATCTCACTAACTTGTTTTCTATTTATGTGTTTTTGAAATACTGGCACTCATAAGAGAAGTGACTGGTAAAATCAATTAAATAAAATTCTCTTCTTTTGCAATCTTGGTTCTAATTAGATTTTCTCAAAGGAGAAATGTTTGGCAGAAATGCACTCCATATTTTACCAAAAAAATAATTTCAGCTGAATTGTAACTCCGTCATGGAATGAAAAATGAAACATTAGGAAAACCCCAAGGTTTCTCCATCAGTTTACAGCCTTTAGATATATTAATGTCACACTTTTGACGTTTAAAAACACTTTATTTACAAAATTAAATAATATAATTAATTATTTATGTTAAACAAGTGTTAGCAAAAAAATACTTAAATTAGGAGCTTGTTATATTGTAGTACTCCACCATTTAACTCAGAACATAAAGTTTTGTTAAAATCCAAAAACTTCATAAAATCCTCCATGTTCTCTGTGCCTCTGTGGAAATGAAGCTTCAGCCCTATTCTGGTTTAAACGTTGCACTTCCACAGCATCAAGGTGAGGTCCCTCCTGCATTCTGTGTCTGTGGGACAAGTAAATGTCCATCCTCGCTTCGCTGATTAAAATATTTAAAAGTTGGGCTTTCTGCTTGTTTCTTTTGTTTTGCCAAACTTCTCCTATGAATAGAAAGTTTGTAAAAAAAAATAAAAAATACATACCAAAAAGAGTAAAAACAGGCTAAAGGCTAAAAATGGTGTTTAGTCTTTTGCATTCCATAAAAACTTGGAATATATTTTAATACAGATCGCAGAAAGGACGCTCATTTAAAACACTCTGATTAAAAATAGATAAAAATGAGTTTTTGGCGATGGCACCATGTAAAATCCTCCACCGGAGGTTGTTTTTTAATTGGAGGCTTGTATAAAATCTTCCAATGGGGTGCTTTTTTCTGTCCAGATGTCTTTGGTTAATAACTTTTGTGCAGCTGTGGTAAAGGACTTTCTGGTCCATAGTCAATGAAACTATTTTCTGTGGGTCCTCTTTGTTCGTTGCCAGGTTCCTGGATCAGCCAAGATAGGAGTCAGTTGGATCTAGTTGCTGTTATCCATTAGGTAGAACTTTAAAAAAAAATTTAAATTCTGCAGAGGAAACATGGCTATTTTATTATGTTCAGTTAGTTTGTTAGTTGGTTTATTTTTAAGGATGAAATGTTGAAACATAAATCTATGAAAGCTGAAGGTAAAAAGTGTCGACAGTCACTTTGTAGTCGTAGGGAAGTCATATTTAAATGTCAAATCATTCTGGCTTAAACCTGTATATACATTTACTCTATCAGACTATATTGTCCTGAAAGTTAGAAAATTTCTATTTAAAAAAAATACTCTTAATATCTTTTTTTCTCGTTATTTTATACATCTAATTCGGCCAATCATATATCAACGGTCATCTGTCAATCAATTTTTTTCAGTCATAGCATCTTGATTCATATGTCGCAGCTAATATATGCAACGGTTGAAGGAAGAATCATTTACTTTACTATTGAGTTACGTCCCAGTGTTCACGGGGATGGACGTCTGTGTCTTCTGCGTAGTTGAGGGTAAAAACTTAGATGGTTATACTATAATAAATAATGTATACCATCAGGTTATTATTTATTTTGATTTAATTTAGGATAATTCACAAAATGGGAAGTAATGTACAACTAAATTTAAATACACAAGACATTTTGAGGCAAATAAAGAATGGTTGGGTAATAAGCCTGGGGTTCAAATTGGTAAAGGGTTGAGATGGCCCAGAGCCATCTTTAATAATAAAGATAATCATAAAAACAGTACTGTAGCCAAATGTCTAGCCAAGCTATTAAACATTTTGCTTTCTTTCAAAAGAAAGAACAAAAACAAACATATGCAGCAGCAGTAATTTAGTCTGAACTTGAAACATGTAACTGGTTTTAGGAGAGTTTAGCATAAAACCTCTTTAACCAAAATATTTGTACTTGACTTCAATTTCACCTGATTTAATATACTCGCACTCCATCCCCAAAACTCTGTCCAAACGTTTGGGGTACAATTTCTATCCTAGAAATGTGTTGCTTTGAAATACATTGGAGATAGAGGGAGGAACATTCATTCCTGTTGAGGTAAATCGCCTCACACTTGTCCTTAGCTCAACTTTATGTCTTTTCAGTACTCGCACTAGTTTTGTATTAAAACCTCCTGATTGCGAAGTTCCACTGAATGCAGCACTGTTTTCAGATCTAAAAACATCACTAATTAGATACAGTTCTTATACATGGAGCGCTGTGACGCCATGTTATTTACCAAGCAGGTAACACACCAGAAACATTCAGAGTGAGTCTGCCCATTTATCCATGCCTGGTGTTTATCTGATTCTGTTTATAGATGTTTGTGTAAGCTTAGCTCAACCAACAATAGCGTTTTGTTTTGATACCTCCTTTTTTTTCTTAACTTTGCAGACTATTCTTAGAAAAGTACTTATTTTTAGAGGTGGTATTAGTTAAACACCTGTAACAGTGTAGTAAAACCTTTTGCTGGTCTACATGTTTTGCTGCCTGGAGGCATGACACAGTATGATATGCTATTTACTTTTAATTTTTTTTTTGCAGGTAAAGCCTGCATCTAGTTAGAGATAATAATATTCACATCACTATCTGTCCTCTGCACTTACACATTCCCCTCTTTTTCTTTAAATACCATTTATTAGTAACATCCAACGCTAGCTCAGCGTTCCAAATTCAAAGGATATTACCAGCTTGACTTCACTGTTTTCTGGAAATGTAGCTCATTTGAAGGCTGAATAGGAGGCAGGTCTGCTTCTTTGCTGTTGTAGATGTTTTGCAGCCCTTTTAGACAGTTCTGGTCAAATTTTCAGGGGCGGATCTAAAGAGGCACAAAATGTCTATGCAGGGTGCAAATCATGGCCTCTTCTACAAAAAATATAATATAATAATTGAACCAACAAAACATAGAAAACACTTTAAAACTTTCCATCATGTCATTTTCTCCTCTAAGAAAAAAAGGCGAACTTTCAATGTGGCCTAAATTGGAAAAACTTGTGTTCCACAAAAATAAATGAATAAATGGAGAGGACAGATTCAGAAAAAAAAACTAAAATACCTTATAAGACTGATCCACAATAGATCCTTATTGAATACAGAGAATGATTATATTTCATCTAAGATGATGATGATTCTTTTTCTCCTTCTCCAGTTTCACCTGTGTTATTTTGCTATTGTAACATTTTTTGGCTAAATTAACACATTCACTTCACGATACTCAGAAAACATTTTATAGTAACTAGAGATACACCGATCCAATCGGATACGATACCTGACCTGAGCGATCGGCTGATATACATTAGCACATTTATAAATAATTGTTATATTATTTTTTAACAATTCAGCAGCAAAAAGAAAGAAATAACAGTTCCTTGTAAAGTGCATTGGATTGGATCTCCGATATAAATATCAAATCCCTGATATCTGATTCAGCTTATTAGTCAATATCAGAGCCGATATCCAATCCAGGTATCGGATCCATGTATCTCTAATAGCAACATCATTGTTGAATGTTGCAGTGGAGATATTGATTGTGATTAACCACTTTTTTTCACACTTTCATTTCCACTGTCTCCATTTCACCATCACTCGTTGGGATCTTAACATTTCAGTGTTAAAAGCAAACCTAGAAATTGTTTCTAGTCTCTTTTTTTATTTCAGGACTTATCTATCTCATTTCTACATTTTTCTCTCAGGCTGTCACTGTCAGAACAAAAGACAGAGGAACCTAGAATTCAGGCAGAACAGACAGTGGGATAACTTCAAATAGGCGTTTATTAATACAAAGAGATCTGTGGAAGCAACAAGATGTGGCGGGTGTGGCCCAGAGTGCTGCAGATGCTGCAGCCCCGCAGAACATGCAGGAATCTGAAGCCGGTCAGGGATACAGATCAGAAAAGGCTGTCTCAGGGAAGCTCACAGAAAGGTAGATGGGAACAGGCAGGCTCAGTGGTTGAGAGGCAGAACAGGTCAGGCTCAGGAAATCAGAAACACTATGGTACGCTAAAAACCCTCTCTCAACTGTCCCCGAGAATGAGAACAAGATAATTTGGCCCTGACAGCTGAATGCAATTACCTTAAATAGTGGCAGGAGCAAGTGTATCAGATGAGTGGTAATGAGCAACCAGGCAGAGCTAGACAGGTGAATGGAATGAACAATAAAGCCAGCCATCAGAGCCAAGATCATGACAGTCACTCCATTAGTCCATCCAGCTTCTTCATTCATTAGTTTTTTTTCAAGTGGTATATCTAATATTTGAATCCTGCTTAGCAAAACTAAGCTGAACTTATGTGGTTATGTTTCAACATTCACATTTTTATTATAATTTATATGAGATGTTGGGATCAAAAGGTGTAAAAAGTTAATCCAACCAGCAGAATATATATATATAAGGAATACCTTTATTTTCCCTCAGTGGAGAAATATGGTCATGACTGGAGCTGGATGATATGCACTTAAAATCTTAGTGATATCAATCTGATGACGATAAATGACGATAAAAAAGCATTACCTCATCACAGTGTTTCTTTGGGAACTGTATGGCTGTTACTGCTTAGCACAGCGATCATAGCCCCACAATCACAAATATTACTCTTGAAGAATACACACATTTAAATTAGGCTTCCTCAGGACACCGGTTAAAAAAAGAGCTATGATTTATATCATTAAACATCTTGTAGTAACAGAATTCAATCATATTCTTCAAAATTGTCAGTGCCCCAATTGAAGAAAGCAAAATAAAAATTCTTACATTTGTCTCAGTTTCTGGAGTTTTTAATCATCATTGCTTCTAATCTATCATTTAGACAATAAATAAAAATTGTTATGAGTGTAATCGTTTTATGATGACAATAAAAGCCCACCCCTAGTTGTCACCATGGTAAAAACAAGTAGACAGAAAAAACAAAACTAGATACTCCACAAATGTATAACACTTTTGTATGGATTTTTTCCTTTACCTCCAAAGAAACAAATCTGCTTTATATTTCTCCACCATTCGTTTTTAAAAGATCTATAATTTAAAGCAAACACTGCTGTATATTTTACAAACACTGTGAAGATTCATGCAATTTATCTGAATGTATATCTACCAACCTCAACAGATTTTTTTCTTCTTTTTGATCTTCCATTATATTTGATTTTAAGAAAAGTTCAGTATTTATTCATATGTGTTGAAATGTGTCTCAATGTTCCTGTTTTTATAACTATTAAACTAAAGTGCATACAAACGAGTGTTATATGTTATAATGTATTGACAATAAAGAAAACAATTTTGTTTATTTCTGGGTGTGATCTCTGCCTTGTTGCAGCCGCTGTGTGTCCGCCTTATTCTCAGAAGATGTTAAATTAATCTGTAGGGTCAATGTTACAAAGGAATCCATAACGAATGTTGTTTTATTCCAATTTACTTTGATAAAAAAACAAGAAATTAAAGATTATCATGATTACTTAATTGCTCCAGCAGATTTGAAACAAAGTTCTTGTAATTTTCTAATTCATTAAGATTCATGTGTGATTCTACTATTTAAAATGACTTTAACAAACACACCCTGCTTCCTTACAAATAAAAAACTAGATGATTGAATTTGGCTAAACTATTTAAAAACACTCCACATCAAGTATGTGTCTGTTCAGTTTCCACCTGTAAGAAAGCACCATTCCAGTAGTTCCAGTTTACACTGGGTAAGAGGAGCCCTTCCTGGAACAGGTAAACCCTCCCTTGCTCTAATTTTCCACTCAGACCATCCCCACCCAAACAGCAGAATTAAAGCACTAGAGGCTGGTCTGATTATTTAGTCCTCTGGCTGCCATTTTTCTCCAATTTAACTGGAAATCGAAGCAAAGCCAGAACAACTCAAACCCTTGATGTAGGAGATGACTCAGTGAGAACTGGAAAAGAGGAATGATTGTATGATTAACCATTTTAGAGCAATTAGGAATAAATGTGTTTATCATCAAATGAATCATCATGGAACGTTGATTTCTTCTTGAGAAAACAGTCATGCTTTCTTTAAATTATCATTTCAATCAGCAATGCCTAAATGTTCATCCTGAGTCAGAGATGTATTTAGGTGTTGCTCGTTATAATAGACAATAAAGGATACATTGGTCTGCAGTGTAATATGTATGTTATATATGTGTTCTTTGACTGAGCATCTTTAGTTACAATTAACACCCCAGTTATCTCCGAGGATGGCTTTATTGATCGTCCCAACGCGTCTTTGATTCCTGCACTGCTTTACATAGATTGCTTTGCTCCTGAAGGCCTGCCAAATGTGGTTAAGGTGGAGGAGAAATCCCCAAATCCTCAGACCAACAAACTGATAAAGGAGACAGACAGCCACACTCAGGTCAAAAAGAGTCCACATGATGGGTAAAGGAAAGCAACAAGCTCATTTCAAGGTAAATGTTGTCCATTTACTGGCTATTTAGTTTAGATTTGATCTGTTTGTCTTGCAGACTGAGGAAATAAGGAAAGATCGGACGGACTAGTAGGAGTGGAGGTCGTTCATACAGGGCAATAATTAAAGCTTAGAGCGGAGGTCTGCAAACCCTAGGGGGTCCACGATGGTACTGCATGCATGGGGGTCAGGAAAGTTTTGGTTGATTAAATTTTTTTAGATTACCTCCTGCAATTTTTTCCACTAACTGAACTGTCTTTAAATCCAATTCAACACAGTGTAGTAAACAGATAAATGGAGGCAGAAGATGTCTTTCAGTCATCAATGCACACATTCAGCAACACATAGGAGCTTTTTCAAGCTGGGCACCATTTCATTCACACCTGTCCCATCAACCAGGAACCAGAATCAGAAATATGTTAATTCCAGGGGAGAAATTACTTTTATTGCATTACTCCATCTATAATAGAGTGACTATAGAACCAGTTTGATATAACACAATTTCATATAATATATATAATAAGAGGGTTCATGCTCCATTATGCCTTCAGTTTGGGGGTCCTTGGCCTGGAAAACATTGAAAACCTCTGGCTTAGATGTTTCTTTTCTCTCATTACAGTAAAATATTTCATAAAGCTGCATGTTATTAAATATTTAAGGAAACTGGGCCCAGTTTGCTTTACCAACAGTTTTCTTATACTCACCTTATAGACAAACAATGGCAGCTGTAACATATAACATGTTAAAATTTAAGATGACAGATTCTGTCTAGACACTTATCACACTTATCTATAGAATCAATCAGCGTCGTTATCCACATTCAAAAGATTGTAAATATATTGGAATAGACTTTCTGCGGCAGGTGAGGGCCCTGGGTGTCAAAGTCATGCTGCTATTTTACCCAAATGTAATCCACAGCATCATTAGGTAGGGATTTTTTTGCCTGGTTTGGTCACTTGTCAAAATGAAGGCCAAAATCACCATGAAGATGGGAGATCTTCAATGAAACAATGAGCAGAAAATCATCTCAGAACCACATCAATCTTCAGCGTATCACTTTCTTCTATCAGGTCCTTTTCAGAGTTCCTGCATGTGAACTGAACCGGTACAAGAACTCATTTCGTTCACCTTCTATTAAAGCTATCAAACATTGAATTACTGAATGTTTTTTATTATAACCATAATGGAGTAGAGTTTCAAGGAATGCAAACTATATCAGTATTTTTCAATTAGTATTACTTTTTAATAGTTATGTTTCTAGATTTCTTAAAATATTTTCTTCCTCCAGCAAAAATCTGCAGGAGGAAAACAAAATTCTGAGATCACAGCACCCTCTGGTGGACAAAACTTTTTTTTTTTTTGGTTTAGTTACAGCTCACGTTACACCAAACTGAGCATTTTATTAGTTTTGAAAAGGATAGTTCTGGGAAACAATCCTCAGATTCCTAAGAACCACTAAAGAAAAGGACTAATGCACTACAAAACTAAAATTACTGATGTCAATTTGTTGAGAACAGCTTTTTATTTAGAAGCATTAACCCAAAGACAGGAACATAGCTCAGTGGCATTCCTCATTTATTAATGAATAAAAATTGGACATGAAGACGTGCACACTAAAAACCAGTGTAACAAATTGACAACCCTAAAATATACTTTAACTGTCTGATTTTTCTGCTTGGAAAAAAAAAAAAAAAAAAGTTACCATTTCATCTTTAACGTAAATCTGTCCAATAAAAAAAGGAAACAAGGAAAACAGCCCACTAGTCCTGCAATGTGCAAACTTATTGATCTTTCCTGAATAACATTTATTTTACATTTATTCATTCAATCCTTCCACCGAACAGGTCGCTTCTATAAATCAAAGCGTTCAACATTTTATCAGTGGATATCAAAGCTTTACACTGTAAATAAGTTTTGTTTTGTTTTTTTTCAAAAATTTGCAACTTTACATATAAAACTAAAAAGATTATGTCAGGCAGTCGGACCGGGTGCGCTTGTTTCTGGGACAAAAACAAATCACAGGAAAATAAAGTTGAGTCCGGGGGCTGATGTCGCACTGCTGCCGCCAACCAACGCGGCCGCCGCCTGATGCTGGGTCTCGCCGTGACAGAAGGATCCACCTTCGACGTGTACTGAGAAGCTGCAGCCGTTTATCCGTACAGATGCTGCATGTAGGACCTGCTTTGAGGATTTGTCAAGGTTCAGATTATTAACTGGACCAAGAGAGGAGTGATCAATAAACCAATAAACCTCACATGTTCTCCCAGTTATAGTACACTGGTTTTAATACTTGATTCGCCAAACTGTTAACCCAGGATTTTCTTCAACTTTTGGTTATTTTAAATTTTTGGGTCAACAATTCCTTTTGCTAATCTTTATCTCCTGACAAATTGACGAGAGATCTTAATAGTCGCCATAATTAGGAGAACATGTGGAAGTGGTTGGTGGCGGTCAGCCCCGGGGCTCATCTCTTTGGGACAGTCTCTTAGCGCCGGTGGCGGCTGTGTCCTGAGTGTCCGCTGCTGCTGTGGTGTTTGCTCTTGTGGCTACGCTCCCGGTCCCTTTCATAAGACCTTGACCTCTCCCTTCGGTCACGATGGCTGCCTCCCCGCTCATGTTTGTGTTTCTTTGAGGAGAAATCAAAAGAGCGGTCTCTCTCTCTGTCCCGCTCTCTCTCTCTGTCCCTGTCCGCTTTGACGGGAGTGCGGGATCGTGACCGAGAGCGTTTCCTCTTGTGACCAGAACCACCTCCTCCGCTGTTGCTATGGCGCCCGCTGAGTTTGGAGTCGCTATTCCCATGGTGACTGGACTTGGACTTGAGATGAGGCAGAAGTGGTGAGGGCGGGTGTCGATGGAGCAGCGGGCTTCGACTGTGAGAGCGCGAGCGTGACCGAGAGCTGTACGTCCCTGAGCGACTGCGTCTGCTGTTGTAACTGAAAGCACAAACAGTGTCAACATTTGACTTTGATTCAGAATCAAACAATGATCTGTACATGTGGGAGAATTCAATGATGATGAATCATGATTAATCAATTTAAATAATCATCAACTAATTTAGCAATTGATTGTTAACTAGAGTAGAGACTAATGTACTTTTTAAGCTGACAGAGCAACCCAGTTATTAAACCAAGATTGTAAAAAAAAAAAAATATATATATATATATATATATATAAACATCTAACACTTGAGATAAAAAATTATTCTTTTATTCATTTAATTTCAACCTGGTTAAATTTGGTTAAAAAAATCTTTAGAGAACCTTTTACTATCCGATTATTTGAAAAAAAAAAAAAAATTTTTCAACAGATTTTGCTAATCGATTAATCTGTCGATAACAGAAGGAAACTTACTGTCTGCGATGAGATGGAGATCTTGACCGTGATCGTGTTCTTGAACGCGAACGACTTCCACTTCTACTAGTCCGTCCGATCTTTCCTTCTTTCCTCAGTCTGCAAGAGAAACAGATCAAATCTAAACTAAATAGCCAGTAAATGGACAACATTTACCTTGGAATTAGCTTGTTGCTTTCTTACCCATTATGTGGACTCTTGTTGACCTGAGTGCGGCTGTCTGTCTCCTTCTTTATCGGTTTGTTGGTCTGAGGATTTGGGGATTTCTCCTCCACTTTAACCACATTTGGGGAGCAGGGCTTGGAGGCAGGAGAGAAGCCTCCTATAGCAGACAGAGCAGGTGTACCATCCGGGTTCAGGCCCTTTGCCTTCAGTTTGGCCTCTGCTAAGAACACCTTCCGTCGCTCCACCTCTTTTTCGAGCTGCTCATAATTAGGCTGGAAGCACAAAACAGTAAATTTAACAAAAATGGCCCAAACACTGTTTCTATCAAATAGTCTCTTATAGGACTTTTACAGCCTCTCTCACTGTTCTGGAATCTGCTATCAGTCAACTTTGGACCGTTAGACTGAGAAGTTGTGAAGTTGGTTGTAAAGAAAAGGTCACATTAGGACCTCTAGATCAAATTCCTTCATCAGAGAAGCAAAACCATGTTTGAGCAGGTAAGTGTCATTTGTTTTGTTGTATAGCAACCACTTTTAGCCAAGCTCTCATGTTTCAGGGGAGCTTAAACTGTCCTAAATGGGCATTCAGGGTATCATGACTGTTTGACTGACAGATCCAACCCTCAAGTTACCAAGCCCTTTTCGATCAGGGCACAAAAGATAAAAAAAAATAATACAACAATAACTGAAATAGAAATCATTAAATAACTCAAAATAAGCCAATGTTTGGGTCTAAAGTTACCCAATGTTGCTTCAAGCAAATGTAAAAAAAATAAGAACACCAGATGAGGCACTATTTTAATGCAACGGTTAGCTATATGAACTGGAAAAATAAACAGATTAATGGACAGCTTAAAGACGATGGGATGATGAGGTAAAACGATACAAAGACCTAAAGCTTCTGGAACAGCAGAGAGCAGACTGCTAAATTACAGCGGTTTCTATGTGGTCTTGAGTTTAGAAATTTTAATTCAATCAAAATATTGAGTCACAACTATGTCTTGAGGGTTTTAAAACAGCTATATGAGGTAACCCAAAAATAATTCTTTTTTTCTTTTACCTTTTTCCTGGTGTAGAGTTTCAGGGTTGTAATGCAGATCTCTTTAATCTCTTCTTCTGTGGCTCCAAACAGCAAATACCAATGAGGCCTGGTTGGCAGGGGAATCTGGCAAAAACATGCACACATTTCCATAAACATCACATTGTGCTATAAATTATTCATATTTTTTGTGATGAGGTTTAGAGGAAAAACAGGCTGAAGAAGCAGCTTTGAGACGGAATTCACCTGCAGGGCTCGGGCAGCGAGGTACATGCAGGCACAGGCGATGGTTTCAGGCTGGAACCGCACAAACACATTCGTCCTCAGGCTGTCGTTCATGTAGTTCCTAAAAGGACAAACAGAAAACACAAACAAAAACATAGCATCGTCGCTATACACACAACGCTGTCAACCACTTTCAGACATACTGCAACAAACAACTTCAGACTGATTATCAAACTGGAACATTTATCTACCATTAATCAGGGCTTTTTTTTTACTGTTTATTTCCTTATTCAAACCTTCTCAATAAAATTCTGCAAAATTATCAATCTTTAAAGTGTCATGAAATGAAAATAAGCCCTGCTTCCCTCTAAATATGAATAGAACTACATGTTAACACATAGGATCCCCTTAACCAGGTTTAACTTTGTCCAATTCTCTTCAGGTTCGTCCATGGGAGCGCTGAATGTCACACAAAGCATGAAGACAAGAATTATGAACTTTAACTTTCCAGATGTTTGATGCTGATACAGACACATGCTCTCTAAGAAGGGAGACATGCAAAGACAATGGAAAATATAATACATAAAAAAATAAATAAATAAAAAGCTAGTTTGACTTTCAGATGTTTAGATCTGAAAGAAAAAAAGCATGGTGTTTGTGTGTGGAGGCATGCAGGGGTAAATGCTTATGATTCAGAAGCATTGTGAAGTTTATTGACCATCATGTTGGAGGATCAGGGGATGGTTTCGAGCAAAGATATGAAATATAGGTGATAGCCGCCAGATAATGTACTTAGTGGAAAGAAACATTAAATGACATGTCTGTCTACGCTGACGTCTTTTCAAAAGGACTGAGACTTCGACTGGAGCAAAGGTGTTTGTCAAAGCTACCTGGGATGCAAATCAGGCCTTTGATGATTGTTAAAAAATGTCTCAGAAAATCTAATATTATTATATAGAAATTTAGCATGAAAAATTATGCCAAAAGCCTTTAGTAAAATCCCTTTTGGTTCCTTACCTAAGGAAACCACTAAGATGATGTATAATACTTGGATTGTCAAGCTCTTGTCCTTTTTTTTTCTCTATCTGGTTTCACCATTACTGGTGAAAACTACCGTACACAGGTGTCCTTCATTCAAACCTGCCTTCCATAACTGACCGGAGCGAAAATGCTTTAACACTACTACAGATAACACATGGCCATTCGGTTCTGTTTGCTGCATGGATGAGACGAGTCCTTGAAGCCAAACCCTGAGAACCGGATCAGCCTGAAAAACAGACATGTCTGGACACCATGTCAGTTGGGGACAAGACACAGTATTCTACTGCTAAATGTAAAAAGCAGGCAGGTTATCTGGCCAATAGAAATCATATTCTGTTCTGACTGAGTTTACTTCATGTATAAATGTAAGTAAACTAGAACAAGATTAGCTTGGCAAGAGAGCTATTACAGTTGAGAATCTTTGTAGCAAGACCATAAAAATACAAATCCTGTTGGACACCCAAGAGAAAACAAGGCGATGCTGGCTGTTGGGAAAGGCCCGCCCGCCCCCTTCAGTGAATCTTGCACTGGGACTGGCTGTCAGGAGAGGGGCAGCCAGCCAATAGGGGGAGCTTCCTGAGGTCATGTGGTTGGAGGAGGCAGAGTTCAGAGGTTCTTTATGTGACTTACCAGCATGGACTACCCTTTAATCAAAGAGTAGAGAGAAAGGACAAAGTTAAACCAAGTTCCCCGGGCACCATCAAATAAACACTCTCACATGTAAGGGCAGATTAGAAAGTGAGACAAGTAGCACGTTTGCTGTACAAGAAGCTGCTACATCCCCCGAAAAAAATGAACTAATTACGCAAAGAAGTAAAAATAAATAGAAAATAGGAGGTTGTAGAAGTTGATCAAAACTATGAAGTATTACTCTCAGACCTGGGCAAAGCTAACAGTTTTATTTTGTACACTATTGCAAGCATTTCTAGATAGCATTATTGATGTCTTCCAATGGGGCCCTTTAAAAATATCAGGCTGATTCATTGGACAATTTGTTCAACTCCACCTTACGCCCAGGTCTGGCAGCACTTCTGACAGTTCTGGCAAAGCTTGCTGCTGTGGGGATTTTCTTTGAGGATCTATAAATTAACTTACCAGGCTGTTTGGACGAGAGTCTGGTTCTTCTCACATTCCAGGAACTGAAGGTACATAACAACAATCTGAAAATCACATAAAAAAGTATATTTAACAGGACCCTGAACTGTTCAGAGAAAAATGTGAATATTTTACTTTGTCTCTAGTAAACAAAAAATAAAAGCCATTAAATTGTATAAGATGCTCACCTTGTGTGGATGCTTGACATGCACACAGAAGCCCAGTTCCTTCAAGACTCGTCGCTCTGCCTTGATGACTTGGTTTTTGGTATTTATGTAGTTCTGATCAAGTATCAATGGACTTGGAGTCCTATGTTATAAAAAAATTCAACATAAAAGAATGGCTCCCCTTTCACAGTCAATGTATGAAAGAGAAAGTGCCCTTTTGGATTCTTGCCCTTTTTTCCCTGTGCCAACCAACTAAAAGCAACAAGTTACACTGTTTGCATGCCTAACAGTGTGCTGGGGGCTTGTGGACTCTTGTGGTTTCAGTGAAAGCTTGAGGGATTGTCCTCAATATGATCATCCAATGCCATCGCTTCAACAGAAATATCTACTTTAACTCTAAAGAGCAGTATAACAGCAAAACAATTAAAACTGGATCTATTCCCTAAAATCGTTCAGAAATACCCCTCTCTACTAAATTATTAAAACCAAATTAGACAGCCTTAAGCACCCGTAAAATAACTGAACTTGAAAAAAATAAAATAAAAAATAGCCAATGCAAACAGACTAGAAAAGTTATTTCAAACTAGAAAAAAAAAAATCAAATTTTTATCTATTTATGTCACCCTCTCCTTTACTTCTCTTGTCATAAGATTGCTTTTAATCCATTTTTAACATCTAGAAATTGTTAAACAGACCAATTATGTACAGAACTCCAGTGTCAGAAAACAATTTTTATATCTTAAACTGATGTTTTTAAGTCCAATAAAAAAAAATGACATATATAAAACACGCAATACAAAGTAGGTGAAAAATAAACTAGTACACGAAATACAGGTGGGTGTGTGTACATTCATATCAAACACCAACTATGGAAAGCTACCTAATTTTATTTAGTGATACAAAAAACATGTCTAACAAAAAATAAATAAAAATATCTAAAATATATGCACTTCCCTGACAATAGAATCTTTTCTATGGGGGGAATCTCATTTAAAAACATGTAGATATTTCTGAAGAAGCCATGGGTTATAAAAATGAATGAACTCTTGTTTCTTTTTTGGACAATCAAAATGCATGGTGTGAAGCTGTCAGAGAAGGAAGCTACTTTACCCCATGGTCCACAGCTTGGCAGACAGAAACCCCAAGCTTAAGACTGAACCACAGGAGTCCTCAAGCTGCCCCATGGGCCAAGGACCTTCGGCCAACCTGCCATCCCCGATCCCAGTGCCCCGCGGTGGCTCAGACCATGGTAGTCTCCCACTGGTGGGGGCGGGGTGGGCCTGGGGGGACGACAGAGACCCCCTCGCATCATGGTTGTCATGCCGACTGCTTCATCTTACGTACCATTCCACATCACCCAGGATTTGGTAAATGTAGCTGGTCGCTGTTAGTTGGTTGCAAGGGAGAAAAGAAGCCAAGTTAATGCCAAGGAATAAAATGATGACATAAAGAAATGAGGCAAAGTACAAATGCCTCATCCTTTACAAAAACCAAATGTGTTCTTTTTATTTGTTTTTTAATTTGATGTTTTTTTTCCATTATCAACTTCAGTCATTTGTCAAACTGATGTTACATGTAGACAATAACAGTTTGAAACTACCAGTGAGGCTGGAACTGAAAAGATTTAAGAGTTTAGAGTGCATGATAAACAAAGGGCACTTTCACAGTAAGAACAAATCACCAAACAACATTTGACACCAATTATATGCAGTAAACCATAGTTTCTATGTAAAAAATTTTTTTTTACACATTAAGTGTAAGGCTGATACTTACTTTTTGCCTCTAAGCTGTCTGAGGTGATGAAAAACATTGATGACGTCTCGTATTCGTCGTGGTGCCTCTTCGATCTTTGAGGCCAAGTTGATACAAGCCATTGCAACAATCTGAAAGACAAAAATACGGCAGAGAGGTTGAAGAAATAAGAGATCAACTTTCCGGTGCAAAATATTAGCAGTATTTAATGTATTATGTTGAAGGTACACTACAAATAACTTTCCAAGCCTATAATAGTTCCATAATTCCCTTAAGGACAATCATTTTGATCAGCTGTTTTAAGGCCCATGGTTGTCTATTAAAAACATAATAGACATTTCTACCTCAGCTGAATGGGAGGGTTTAGAAGATATATTATACACCAACCATATACTCCTAGGATTCTTAATATCTTTATTTTTACAAACACCAAAAGGGGTGTGTTTATTTGCATACAAATGACTGATGTGTTCATATTAAGGAAGTTTTTGTTCACAGGAAACTATAGGTGAATATATTTTTGAGTATCTGTCCTGGACACCAGTGAAATTTAACTCCTGGTTCCTAGTGAATTTCTACCCAGAATCTGACAACTTTTAGTTAGTGAACCATATTTATCTTTGTGTTATACAGTCAAGATGCAGGTCTACTGTTTATCCAAAACATTGGTATGTAAACTAGCGAATGAGATATTCACTATTCACCAAACAGAATCATTTCGCTGCTCTCCGCCATGTTGAACGGTCACAGTTTACTATATCTCGGGTAGCATATAATTGTCTTCGCTTTAGAGTGGAAATTATAACATAAATGGCTGTCCAGGTGTGATTTTTATGTCGGCTGTTGGAATTAACGATAATTACGATGCCACACGAAGGCGCAATACGACAGGGTAATCTCTTACTTCTTATCTACTTGTTCACTTCCGCTATGTATTTCAAAATTCACAATATGGCTGCCGCTGAACGTCACTGTAACGTTCAGTTGTCATCTCCGGAGGCTGAAGAACTCAATGAACTACCAAAACTTACCTCGAAACTGTGCTTAACGAAGGACTTGGAGTAGAAGAACCGATGGAAAAGGACCTGCCCCGTTGCCATGGCCACCTGCGAGAGAAACACAGGACATGTTAATAATACCATCTCTTATGTAAACCGGCCTAACCTTGCACAATGGCCCGCCGCCATTTTAATTTCACCACGCCAACGTAAAAAGGCTAATGAGTTAGCCTTATAACTAGGCCGCAACTTCGTAAACATGCTTCTTGACATGTATACATCATACCACAACACATATATATTTGTACCTGAGGTAACCGTAGGAGAATACCCGCCGACTGAATCAGTTCACAGCCAAGGATACGGAGGTCGGTTTCGGTGTTCAGGTCGAGGCCGTCGAGCATAGAGGGTGTTGGTGAGAGCCTTTCATCTGGTATCACCGAGTTGTCTATCGTTAGGTAAACTTCCGAGTATAGTTTGTCACCGATGAGGATGCCATCGTTGTTGGACTGGTTAGAAGAAACAGAGAGAGGATCTGCGGCCATCTTCATCGGACAAACAACCGTTAGCGGCTAACGCAGCCTCGGTAACGCCACGGCCCAATGCTGAGGAGCGAGACTGTGACAAAGCACTCTACGTCAGCGCCTTGTCGCGACGCAAACGTGTGTGCACATCCGCGGAGGAATTATTTTCTCAATACGTACACGTTATATTAAGCATAGAATCACATAAACAATATAGAAAAAAATAGATAGAATATAGATTAAATAGTAACATATATACAATAATTGAATGCATTCAAAAATGTATTGAATTTCACAGTATTTTTTAACTCAGCTAGAAGTCTAACTGAAGTCATTACACGTTTAAAAATAACGTATAACTTTTTTTTTTATTAAGGTTCATTTCGTAGGTCAAGAGGAAGATATGAGAAATGCTTTAACGAATGTAAATAATGCATTAGTTTTTTATATATATATATATATATATATATATATATATATATATATATATATATATATATATATATATATATATATATATATATATATATATATATATATATATATATATATTATTATTATTTTTTTTTTTTTTACGTTTTCCCAACGATTCAAACTTTTTTCTGCTCACCACATGGTTTTCCTACGGTCTGGTTGTTACGTACTTTACGGGAAATTACGGACCTCTCACAGTTGCCCCTGGAACATATCCATCCGCCACCTCAAACTGTGAATGAAAATGCTGTCTATCGCAGAGGTCTTCAACAGGGGGTCCGCGCCCCCTAGGTGCGGAGCTAGATGGGGGGCCAGGGGTGGCCATGGCCACCCTTAGCCTATCATTGGCCACCACTGTGGCCACCCTTACCAATTTTTTCCCTGTAATACAGATGGTGACATCAGTAGTACCAGTGGCGGCCGGCCCATAGGGGGCGCTGGGGCACCGCCCTCCCTGATAAGAAGAGAGAAACGTAAAATATATTTTTAGAAATTAAATCATAAATGTCAGTTTTACTCTCTAGACTGTGTACCTATAAGCAAAACAAATTATATAAACTACATTTCCCTACCTACTGTCATTAATTTGTGGATTTCCACAGACAGACTCCTACCGTCTCTGTTCTGGGGGCGCCTATCAGACAGCCCCACATTTGCAGAGAATCTGTCAATCATGTACTTTTGCTAGGTGAATTTAATGGCCAATCAGCGTCTCGGAACTTTATGGTCTTGGGGCTCTGAAAATACTGCACTTTTACAGGCTTCTGAACCCAAGCGCAGGTGCAGACAATGAGAGGGACGATGGCGAATGTAACGAGCGAGATGCAGCTTCCAGCAAATTCGGTGAGATCCTTATTTATCTACCCGTTTGCCAGAAGAACATCCCTGTTGTAGGATATGAACATTTCATGTCATGGTTATTGTGACTCTGACGAATCCACCTCGTCGCTTAAAACAACCTCTCTAACTTTGCGCGCCACACACACATTCCTGTTATACTGTGTTTGTGAGGACCAATACACTCGCGCTGAGACCAGTAGCTCCATGAACTTAAAACACACAAGCTGTTCCTGGTTACCTGCTGGCGTATTGAGGGTGCACACTTAATATTTCAGTGGGGTTAGTCGTGTGTGTGTGTGGGTGTGTGGGGTGTGTGTGTGTGTGTGTATGTGTGGTGGGTGTGTGTGTGTACGTGTTTATGGTATGGGGACTTGTCATCTTTAGTCTGGCTGCGTCTTTGCTGGGTTCAAACCCAGTTTGGTGTAATTGAATAAGTCAATGAATCTGTGTAAAAGAATTAAGTTGTAAAAATTATTTGTTTTTGTAAATCAATTGTTTGTGGAGGTAATATATGGACAAAACTGATTAATGAGAAGAAATCAGAAATAAGAGAGCCTGATGTGAGGGGCTTAAACTATTTAATGAGGGCTGTGGGAAGAAAAGCGGCAATTTTTGTTTTCTGTTTCTTTGTTACATTGCTGGTAACTGGAGGGAGGCTGAGGCCCAGAGTATCTGGTATATGTTTAGTTTCTTTTGCACCCTGTTTTGAGTTTTTGAGCTCAATAAATCACCAACACCGGTAACCCGACTGAGCCTGGATTCTTGGAGGCCAAAGAACCCCGTCACAGTGACCAAAATCATCACTGTTACTGTTATTATATAGTAAATTAAATCATTACTGTTAAATTGTATGTATTGTCCAATTGTTTAATCGAATTCTTATTCCGGATTAGTTGGAGACATACACTAGGCTATATCAGCCCCACCAAAAATATTTTTCACCAGCCGCCACTGAGTAGTACTCTTAAATGCATTTTAATTTTTATATATATGACTTACTATTTTTTTCATACATTCATAATTACTTGACAACAAAAACACTCTGGTTAATTATACACATCAATACACTAATATTAAAGACTATAAGTACACGATTCCTGCTTTTTTCAGAACTAAATTTTGTGTTATATGGTGTGAAGAGAAAATTATGTCACTCTGCAAGTCATCTAGGAGTCTTCAGTGAAGTCATAGCTAAATAAAATTTTAATCAAAACGTATTAAATATTCAATTTAAGTAGATATTAGTACATTTAAATATCTATTTTATGCAAAATGATTATTGCTACAGGTAGGTAAGTAATGACAATGGAAAAGATTGAAGAACTCAAACTTCAAAGAATTTTATCCACTATATCTTTTATTTAGAAAGCATGGATATTTAAATATATATGTCAATTTGTTAGCAAAGGCTGTAGGAAAGTATAGTTAGTTTTATCTTTGGCTTCACCCTGAGGTTCTGGCGCTTATTCACTTTCGGCCACCCCTCAGTGTCCATTGGTTATTACCTAGCCACTCTTATAAAAGTTTTCTGGCTACGCCTCTGGTCCTTGGAATGGAAAACGTGACAGTATCGATTAATGATGGGCCACATGACATTAATCTCTGTGTGAACGACACAGTATGTTATGCGCACAATATGCACATGGCCTATAACATTTATTGTGTATATGCGTACTAAACTGCGTGAACAGGATGGATGAGAAAACTCATTGTGTTCTAACTTTGATGGGACAGTCCAATATTTTTCTGAAAAGACGTGGTTCACTCAACTGTGGTAACACCACATACACTTAGCAGTAATGGATCAGAAATCAGGTGCAGAGAATTACACTTTAAAAAAAAATTATGTTGAGCATTTTTTTGGAAATGTGACTTTAGTCTGCAACATTTTTATATAAATGATATAGAAGCAAATATAACACTATAGACAAACTTTATATAGTTATTTTCATTTAATAAAATGTATATCCATATAAATCATCTAGTTGCTGTGGTGACAATGTACCAGCAGAGGGCGCCATAAACCAACCGAAACAGTGTTAGTTTGGCGTTGCAGATTTCTCGAAACATAATACATTTGCTTCTTACCTAACATTTTGAGACTAAATAATAAACTACACAAAACATGCATTTCAGATATTGATTGATTAAAATTAAAGCTTATTTTTTCACAATGACAATAGAACAGAAATAGGCTTTATTGTTTCTTAGAAAAGTAATTGAAAGTGTAAATAAAGCAATCAGGTATAGCAAAATAATTATAAAAAATGCTTTATATCACAAATAATTGGATAAACTATTTGCAGATTGTGTATTTTAGCTACCATACATTAAACCTCTGCTCGTCATAGAATTGGCTCTTCAGTTTAATTTCCCTCATGGACAAACATCATATCCCTACTGTTAAAATACAATGTTATTGATGGAGACATTGAGAGATAAGAAAAAGAAAGATTAGCACAAAATATCTTAAAGTCATGTATGGAACATTATTGAATCTTGAGCAGATGGAGCAAATGATGAAATCAGCGAAAGCCTGAAATTATTTTGATCTGTTCTTGCTTGGTGATTTTTTTATTTAAACTCTTTATTCAAGATCTGTGATCATGCACACCCATTAGTCTGTCTTCAGAAGTTCTTCGTGGTACTAAAGGGACACAGAGTTATCCCTCCCCCACACTCAAATTATACTTCATTGATTATGGGAATAAGCCACATGAAGTGACAGACTGAAGTGTCTTATGTCCTCAGCTTTAATCAACACCTCCAACTAACACCTCCGGCCAGCATTTACGCATTTACCAGGGTAACAAGAATACTGAGCATTCTTTTTCCTGGTTGCCCCGGTGATGCTAATTATAGGGTGTGGGAGGGCTCTGTGGGATGACAGAATTCTGAAACGGCCATAACAACGCAGGAGAGAGGCGTTCAGGGACACCCAGTGACGAACAAGGTCTTAGTTATACACACAAGCCACTCCCTGAAGCGTGAGCGTTCACAGGCTACTACACAGATTCCCCCAGGGACACGTGTGTATGCCTGCCCTACTATGATAATTACTGTGGTGAGATCACAGCACTTTGTGTGCGCATGACAGGCATATTTGCACATATGAATGTCTGTACGAAGTCACAGTTTTATGAGGATTTAATTTAAATGGAGTTTATGTCAACCTAATGAAGCTATGTGCTTTTATTAGGATGAAGAAGGAGCCCAACTGAGCATTATTGCTCACACATATGCCTCTTTTGCTTAAAACAAACACACATAAACTCAAACCAGGGTGGAAAGTAAGTCAAGGGCTACTAAGCAAGGGGAAAGGGAAAAAGGCCTGATTGGAGAGCAGGGAGGAGTATAAAGCTGACTGGATCAAACATAAAGTGAAGGCACAGACAGCTGAGGAAGAGAGACTGAGACCGAATTGCTTTTCAGAAACGGGGTCAGAGAGGTTGAATGCCGAAAGAAGGCCCAAAGAGATTAAAAGAATATTGACACAGAGGGAGTGATTCATGTGTGAGCCAGAGGTGCAGAGCCAGAGAGAGAGAGCTGGGTGTTTGGGTTTAGAGGGTGACAGAGACAGAAAGTGCGTGCGGTCAGAGCAGACTGACTATTGTGGCAGAGGAGGAGGAGGTAGATGGGTTCGGTTCAGATGGCTCAGCTTGGCTCTCTTTATACTGTAGCAGGGAGGAAGGTCAGAGTGAGAGCAGCTGTCGCAAAGGTCAGTATATGTCTAGGGAACAGACTTCAAAGAGATTTTGATTAACATAGATTAAAAAGCAGTTTGTGATTTAGATTA